TGTCTGTTACGAAGGCTGATTTGAATAAACAAACAGCCGCGGTGATTAGGATAGGTACCTCGGTTACAAATTTTCATTTAAATGTTAAATGATTTAAATAAATGTAGTACTACACTAGTTAGTTGCTCTTCTAGTTCTACTCTAGGCACGTAACTGACCAAACCCTTGCACCAAGTCCTTGCACCTTCCCAGACGCCACGTATGTGTTATAGTTAGTGCCTGCTAAAAATGCCATACCTTCACAGCTTTTCGACATAAACTAATATTTAGTGTTTTCTGTACCAAATTAAACGGAGAACAAATTCACCAATAAAAACTGCATAAGCTAATTTGACATCATCATCATCATCATCATCATGAGGTTTGGTGCAAAAAAGGCAACCGAAAATATGAAATACTTCCCCTACCACCCCCCCCCCCCCCCCCCCCGCCCCCCCCTGACAGCAGCAAGACATAAACATATTTTATATTTTATCACTAAACTGAATGGAGAACAAGCTCCAAGAATAGAAAATCATGTAGTCTTATTAACATTATACATCATCATTATGTGGCTGTAGATTGGTGCAACAAAAAGGTGCCCACATTTTTTTTTCTGACAGCAGTGTAAACTAACAAAAATGCCATAGCTTTACAACTTTTTAACATAAACTTGGCTCTCCTCCGAATGATGGGTCTGAATGATCGCGGTAACAAATATACCCTAACCCTAACAGGGACTCAATAGGTTTGCTTCCATTTGAGTTGTATCCATAATCCTTCAGTTATTGAGTTTTAGGGTTAGGGCTAACTCCAACCCAAATTCAATAATATATATCTTTCTGTAGATAAATAAAAACAAGTGTTTGTGTCGTATAGACTTGGAAACTATTGGACCAGTTCAGCTGAAATTTACAGAATATGTAAATTTAAAAACCAAAAACACGCTAATTTAATTTTGGTGGAGGCGTCGGGCAAAAAAAACCATATTACAATAGGTAGCGTGAATCGTTTCGACACAGGATTCATATAGTTTACCGGCTTTTCGGAACAGTTTCCAAGCAGTTTCTGTGCATTTCCTCTTGAGTGGAATCGAATTTAATCGAATGCTAAAATTATTTTTTTTTCCAGCGAAATATCAGCAGTGGCATTTCATTAAAGCGATGTTTGTACATGCTCAGTATTCGGGACGCACCCCTTAAATTCTAATTTTTACATCCGTTACCAGTGATACATATTGGCTATCCTCCGAATAACAGTCCCAGATTATCTAGGCCGAAAATATACCCTAACAGGGCCGCAGTCACATGTAAATTGGGGACTCCCGGCGACTACCGCCACCGCTGAGAGTATCTCCCATGCTGCTATGCGCGGTGTGGAGCGGTGCTAAACTAGATGGCTGGGACTCACAAACAGCAGCTACCGCATCTCCTGCAGCTTCCTTCATTTTATTTGCTCGTCAGTCCCAGCCATCTAGTTTAGCCCTGCTCCATGCCAAGCGTTGCGGCATGGGAGATACCTTCCGCAGTGGCGGTAGTCGCCGGAAGTCCACAATTTACATGTGACTGAGGCCCTGTTAGGGTATATTTTCGGCCTCGATAATTTGGGACCGTTATTCGGAGGATAGCCTACATATTTATTTTCCGGTACACATAAAATAACATAAATTACACAGAAGGTAAGTAAATTTATTTGAAATATAAATAATAATTTTTAACCACGCGTACGATCACAGTTCAGTGTTACAATGCTTGACATGGCGAAAAGGATAAGATGCCGGCTCTACCGCACATAGACCAATATTGTCTAGCATCTATTTTTATTATTGTTACTATTACTATTTTTATTAACTTGCCATCAGAACTGCTAAAGTTAAAATATACTTTAAATGTCTACACATTATCTGTTGGTTTTCTCCTATTATTCAAAACAATTTAATACATTTACAAGCAATTTCGTCTCAGGGACACTGAAGGTAGTCTGTAGTGAAGTGGATTATTTCAGTAACATGGACATAATTACCACAAATCTTTTTGCTAGACTGGAAACCGATTCATATCTTTTACCGGCTTTTTAAAGAATTTTCCACGCAGTTTCTGTGCATTTCCTCATCAGTGGAATCAAGTTTAATCGAATGCTAAAATTATTTTTTCAGCGAAATATCAACAGTGACATTTCATTCCATGTGAGAGGACGGACAAGCTGCAGTTATTGCGAAATTCAAATTGCCGATCAACGCTCGCTAAATTCACATGCATTTTTTACTCGCTGCTCCTGATTTTCCACACATTTGCAATTAAGCCTTCCAAATGACAGGGGATTGGCCCTTCTACACCTAGAGCATGAAAGAGAAAGGCATTACTTGCTTCAGAAACAGACGAGCAACGGGACGTAAGACTGAAAGGAAACTGATCGAGTATGCACTTCTCAAGTCCATTCATTTGAAACAGTTGAGCACCGGGAAGCAAAACATTTAAGTTACGCACTAGTCTATCCAGACGATACTGCACATGGATTCAAATTTAGGTGCATTCCATTACAAAACTAATTATTCATCCAGATGTGGTTATTGGAAAAATGAATAAATTGTGAGTGTTGTAGTGCCATAAAATTAAAGAATGAAACATCGTGAATGTGCTGCGCAGGTGGAAAAGTTGAATTGCCTGCATTACATTCACCACCCGAACCATTATCCCAAGAATATGAACAAAAGGACAATGATCCAATATAATTATTAAAAATTTTTATTGCGAGTTTATTTACATTGAGGCCCTGTTAGGGTATATTTGTAAACCCAATCATTCAGACCCATCATTTGGAGGGGAGCCTAAACTTTAAAATTTTGCATTTTTTTACCAAATTAAATAAAAACAAAATTTCACCAATAAAAAAATTAAAACAAATTGTGTAATCTTGTTTCAAATCATCATTTGGCTGTACATTAGTGCAAAATAGGCAGTAAAAAAAAAAAAACGTCTGACACCAGTATTCTGTATTTTGTGTGTGTGCAGAAGTAATTCTGGTTGAGAGCTCAAGTAAAGTGTATAGAAAAATATATTCTCGACGAGGGTGACTACTCCGTTGTTTCAAAGACGTGTTAAATCTAATATGCATGCATGTTGAATGGCTACCTAATCAAAATTAAGTTTGAAATCTATTAACCTAGGTGTTTGCTGTTGTAGTAAGTTCAGAGCTTCCTCCATATTCAGCTGGGTCTCCTGAAGTGCAATTACGTCTCCTGAAGTGCAGTGAAAGATATTCCACATAAAAGCTGCAGCTCACAGTGCTGTAATAAGCACTAAACTCAATAGCTCATACAGCGAAACATAGATTTCCGTCCATATGTGGAAATTGCATTAGCAAAGCGCTGTCAGCAGCCAAAAAAAAAACTTCAGAGCTAAACATTCTGCCATGCCCAGTCCTCCGTATTGGACCGGAAGTTTCCAGCAAGAGCAGGTAGCAGGGTGTTGCATGTCTCATCTTTAATTATGTAAAAGAGACACCCTGTTTGTTTGCATGCCATACATCCTTGCATTGCTGACTATTGCAGATAGGCTAAAGGTCATACCTCAGATAAGCTGCAGACAAAGAACAACCTCTGTATGAAGCTTTGACTGCAGGTAATGGTCAGAGGCTGAGGGGGGAAACATTGTGTATGGCTCAAGTAGAAGACACAATAAGACAAGTATACATACTGGAGAACATTGGGTGAGAAGAGAAGTGGGTCAGAGTAGCAGACGAAAAGTCTGACCTGTGTAGGGTTATGATCACATTAGGCTGGGAATGCAGAGAGTGGCCAGCGGGTGCTAGGAGGTGGAAGTCCAACAGTTTATTCACTACAATTCATGTTCAAGTGATCTGATTATCAATTCAGGTGGTTCGGTGTTGAGAGGAAAGCGAAGTGCTTGGGGGTTTGTAGCGAGGAGTGGGTCATAGTGTCACCTGAACAGCCACACTTGTGTAGGGTCATAATCACACTGAGCTGAGAATGCAGAGACTGGTCAGCAATTAATTCAAGATAATGCTCATTCAGAGGATTTGATTTTACACAGACGGTTCAGGGTCAAGAGGCAAAAGAAGTGCTTGGGGTTTCTTAGCAAAAGCTAATGGTCGACATTTGGTGCCGGAGAGCCTAGCATATGATACCACAACATCCAGCTTAAGAATAGAGGCGGAGGCAGTCACTGCAGCTTTCTGCTGGTTAGAGAACATGACACACACACACATCCTGATTGTAACTGACTCAGAAAGCATGCTAAAGAAGATTAGGACAGGCATGCTTCATGCAGAGGGGCATGCTTCGCTGCGGAGAACACGGGTGAGGAGTATTGTCTGGATTTTTTCACTGGGGATGCCGGAAATGAACAGGCGGACAGACTGGCTGGCTCTGCACAACTTGGTGGAATACTGATACATGATAAGTCAGACGTGCTAAGTGCCTTGTGGGAGAGCGTGTACAGTTCGGAGGAGCAGATGGATCTGGCAGATGCTCAAGGCTCAGAGGAAAGGCAAGACGGACGTTTAATCAGAGTGCTACTGGCACTATTAGTATTGGGACTCTTTACAGGCTGCTGAAGATGGAGACGGAGCGCTTATGGGAATGCCTCCAGTGCTGTGATGTCGATTCTTGAATCAGATCAAATCAATCAATCAAATCAATCTAAGTAGAGGGAAGCTAAAACATTTTGTGCCCACTGGAAAGATTTTTTGGAAAGAAAGACAGAAGAAGACAATAGGAGAAGATACTTGACAGCTTTTTGTCATGACAAGGATAGTTGTCAGCACATAAACTGATAAATGCTGTTGTAGATCGCAGATTGTGGAGAGGCATGATTATCCAGTCAGCAAGGCACTGAATAATGATATGTATTTTAAACATTTTCCACCATGAAAAACTTTTATGGTGAATAATGACTCACATAATTGTTTAAGAATCATGAATCAGTTTTGTCCTCTGTTAAGCATCTTAATTTCTCATGCTTGTTTTTATTAGCGGAACTGTCTACATAATTTTAACAAATATGGGAAGAAAGACAAAGAAAAATCCGAAACCTAACCAGACTGCAAACAGTCAACCTCAAGAAGCATCTAGCAATGCATCAGTTGTAACACCATGCCCTGAACTGTCCAAAACTGACAAGAAAGAACTGACCGAGCTCATTACAAATTTGTTGGAAAGTAAGTAATCTTATTATTATTAATTGCATATAAGCAAATTGCTTTTCCCTGCAGTGTTTACTATGATTTTATCTAGTGTCGTGCTTCACGACATGGAGGATTATCTAGATCAGAGTTTATTGAAAGTATAAAAGACAGAAAGACATGAGAATGACTTCTAATATACCTGCCAAAACAGCTCTCACATGGACACCAGAGGGAAAACAGGGGCACCCAAAAACAACATGGAGATGAACGATGGAAAGTGACCTGAGTGCGGCATCTTTGACATGGAAAACTGCACTGAAGATTGCACAGGACAGGAAAGCATGGAAAGTCCTCTCTGAAGCCTCATGTGCCACTAGGCATAATGAGAACTGATGATGATGATACAATGATACAAGACAGAAAGTTGTGGTAGACATGATGCTTCACTGTAGTAATTTCTTCTTCTTTTTACTTCATCCATTTACTTATTGAAGTGTTTGGGGCTTGAAAGTTGGGGGAGGGGAGAGGGGAAGAAAGGGGGAGGGAATGTAAGAAACTTCTGTGTTCTCCTTCCAGTGTGTAGTAAAAGTTTATCATCATTTCTCCAGGCTGCTCTGAATGCCATCATCTGTGTGGTCTTATTCTTGTTCTTTTGTCTATTATATTTTTTTAATGTGGCTCTCTCTGGCAGTTAGTACCAGGGCATTCTCATCAGATGGCCAGACCATCTTATATGTTGCTCTTAATAAACTGTTTGACTGGTGTCAGTCCTAGTCTTCTAATTTCATTTTTTAATTTAGTCTTTAAAGAACCAACCTAATTATGAATGAAGTTAAATCAATACTATGCAAAAAATGTGAAGTGCAAGAAAAAATGCCAAGATAAGAATAAAGCTGACCTGATCTGTCATGGCAAAACTTAACGTAATGAATTAGAATTAGGAGTTCAGTTCCTTAAGTTACCAAGCCACATATTTCTGGTGTTAATTACTGTGAGGTACATAAATATCTTTTTAAAACTAATTGCAGTAGGGAGCAGATGATCAGGCTTTCAAATACAGTATTGCCAGAAATTTTGTGTGTGCATAATTTGTGGGTTTAAAACAAGTAACTCTTAAGTAAGGGGAAAATTGTGGATGGCTCAAGCAGAAGACACAAGACATGTATGCATGCTTGACAACGTTGGGTGAGGAGAGGAGTGGGTCAGAGTACCATAGGAAAAGTCTGACCTGTGAAGGGTTATGATCACATTGGGCTGGGAATGCAGAGAGTGGCCAGCGGGTACTACGGAGGTGAAAGTCCAACAGTTGATTCATGACAATTCACGCCCAGGTGATCTGATTATCTATACAGATGGTTTGGTGTTGAGGGAAAAGAGAAATTCCTGGAGTTTCGTAGTAAAAGTCATTGAAAAATCTTTAGTGCAAGACAGCCTAGCATACGACAACACAACATCTAGCATGAGAATGGAGGTGGAGGCGGTAACTGTAGCTCTCATGTGGCTAGAGAACAAGATGCATACATGTGTCGTAATTGTAACAGACTGGAAGCATGCTGAGAAAGGTGAAGACAGGGATGCTTTGAGCAGAGTGGCAAGTTTAACTGAGAAGGTCACGGGTGGTGAGCATAATTTTGATCTTTTTTCTCCAGGCCATGCTGTGTGGTGGGTATGAACAGTCAGACATATTGGCTGGATCTGCATCACTGGGTAGTGAATTGATACATGACAAGGCAGGTGTGGTCAGGCTCTTTAGTAACTAGCAATGGAATCAGTAGAAAAACAAGATTATTATGGCCTGGAGAAATGAGGCACCTGGGTGTAATCAGAGGGTCTGGCCGGCTCACTACATTCATAGGAAAGGCAAGAGGGACATATAACCAGATTGTGACTGGTACCATCAGTATTGGAACTCTGCGCTGGCTACTGAAGATGAGGACGGAGCACACATGGGAATGCCCCAAGTGCTGTGATGTCAATTCTTGACTTAATTCAACTCAGCTCTACTCAGTAGTGATGTCAACAGTAATATATTTAATCTCAAATAGTAAGCTATGCATGTCTCTAAGTTCACAGGATCTCATTTGAAATATCACTAAGAGCTCCATAAATGATGCTGTACTTAGATACTAACTATTCTAAAATTCAGACATGCTTACCACACACTGTCACTCTTTGAAAAGAGCTTTCTAAATATTTCAAAACCAGTTTTCATTATCCTTCTTGGGAGTGCAGCATTTCTACTGGTCATGTTAGTGATTACCTCATGTCCAGAATGTTTCAAAGTGAAGTTTGCCAAGGATCACACACCATGTATGCTCTAAGACTAGAAGAATGAAGGCTAATCCTCAATGATGGTAGAAACTTAAGTCATAACTGCTCTACAAATTCTTCATGTTATATAAGAGTGAACAACATAAACTTCAACTGGAAACAAGCAAGCTAATGGGACACTTTTCTCATGCATCAAAATGAAGGGTGTCATTTCTGCAGAAGTTTGCATTTCGTTTAAGATCCAAAGAGGAAAAAGGTTTTGGACCATGCTAAGAAGTACGTTCATGAGTGTTCTATCAGCTTTCGGCATTTCATCAGTGTCCAGAAATGTAATTTGATTCATGTTAACCAGATGACAGAAGAACGGATCAGAGGCAGGCAGGCTTGATGATTTGTGCAGGAAGCATTGAAAATGGCTGTCTAAAATGCGTACACATATACTTGAATTTTTCCTCTTCTTATCAAAAGTTGCCCTTTTTTTTTTTTAAAGCTGTATGGCAATGTTGTATGGTGCTTTCTGTTGAGTCTGCTGATGGGGTCTTGTGGATGTTTACTGCTGGTATGTTCTCTCCACAATTCTTTGTATTTTCCCCTAATAAGTGCTTTGATTTCTGATAATGACAGTGGATGGGTATGTTGTTTTTCTTTTGTTCCATTTTAGCAAGTCTTTCTGCTAACTCATTTCCTGGTATGCCGGACTGAGCCGGGATCCACTGAAGAACCATTTGATTGTTTTCTGCTAGTCTGTTTAGCCTGGGGGTCAGTTTTCTCTCCATGTTGTCTCATGGATACCTGGAGGACTGACATGCAGTCACAAACAATTTTGCTATTTTTAATATTTTTTTCTCAAGCACTTTGGCTGAAGCAATAATTGCTTGCTGCTCTGAAGTTTGTTGAGAGTCTTCCGGGGGCGCATGATGTTTCTACTGTGGTCCTATCTTGCAGCATGATGACCGATCCAGCTTCTCCATTTTTGCAGCTTCTTCCAATTATTCATTAGTGTATACGTCTGTCCATGGTCTTTGCATGCAGTACTAGGTCACATTCTTCAGCCTTTCTGTCTATGCCTGGAATTGTTGTTGTGACTGTATAGTTAGGCTGTAGTTCTATGCTGTATGAATGGATCACTCCCATGTTAAAGGATCTTTAGAAAGGATGTTACTGTTTTTTGTGTAGTACAGTTTTGATAGATGGTGAAAGCTGTGTCTTTTCAGTCGGTTTTTAGGTAAGTTATTTGCTATTCTTTGCTTGAGGTTGTTGTTCATGTGTATAAATTTTTGTTGTCAGGGTAAGTACCTTTTCTCCTCTTCGAAAGCTCAAGCTCTGGAGGCCAGAAGTTGCCTCCAGCTCATGGATTGGTGTGCTTCTCATACCTCCAGTGATGATTCTGAGACTAGTGTTCTGTATTTTGTCCAGTTTGTGTAGGTTTGATTTGGCTGCAATAGAGTATGCTCCCATGCTATACTCTAGTTTTGGTCGTACATATTTTTTCCATGTTGTCATACTTGATATGAGTTGTCTGGAGCAAAAACCTATGGCTGTCATTGCAGAGATGGGATGCAAATTATAAGTGACATTTCTGATGAGGTAGATGTAATTAATTTCATGGACAGGTTGGTTATTCAAGGACAGAAGAGTACTTGGCCATTCATAGCATGCTGTGCAGGAAGAACAGTCCATGAGGCAAGCAGTGCTTTCTCCATGACTACCAGCAGCATATGATGGGGATGATGGCAGTAACACAAGCTTTCATGTGACTGGCATCATCGAGCTATTCTAAGAATGTGGAGTTACCTTCATTTTTGTTCCAGGTCATGAAGTTGTTGGTAATGATAGATTAGCTGGCTATGCTATAGCTGCAAATGGCCAGACTTTGGAATGCGCCGACATTAGTAATGCTCTTAGAGAGATATGATGCTTGGAGGATTTTGGAATCAGTACATCTACATCGCTGCTAAGAATGCGAGAATTGGGAGTAAGACTTGCCACAGCCAGTCATGAAAAGTACCCTGGACATATTAGAAATCTTGTCAACCAGTATAGGACTGGCACTATTAACCATGGGACGCTGATATATGTGCTATGGGGTGAATCTGAGCACTTAGAGTGCCAAACAAATATATGAACTCATAACTTACAAGATTCCAACAAGAGTTTCATTGAATAAGAATAAGAGCAAGATTTTGACTATAAATACATGCAACATTGTTTCCTGATAACTCACAAATAGAAGAGGAGTAGATTCAACAAAATAACTTGAATCTTCTCATTCATCAAAAAAGATACTATTTACATCTGATCCTATTGTGAACCAACTTAACAAGTGTATGCAGTATTATTGCTAAACATTTTTTTCTTTCTCTAAAGTTTGCTCAAAACCACTGGAGTCTGGGACAAAAGATTTGGACGATTATTCAGATATACATAGTCTGATTGACAAGATCGAAAAAATCCAGTCAGGTATTTGAGAAACATATTTTAAATAAGTTTAATATGTTTAATATGTTTTGAATCAGCAAAACTGCTAACAGTATCATATTTCAATATTTAACCTTTTGGCCCTGAGATGCTGCTAATCTCACATTGATATATATCCATTACACATCGCAGCAAAGTTCGTAATGCTAAACCAGCATGGCTGCAATGGCCAGTCCATGACAAGCCTAGTTAATGGCATTGGTTGCGTTTGTGCCTGCGCAGTATTTAGAAGGGCCAGATTTGATTATATTTGCTAAACATAGCATTAGATGAGGGTGGGGGAGGGAGAGGGGACTTAATTGTGGAGAAAAACTGCGATTTTAGACATCATGATATCCTTATTCACCCTAAGCCTTTGCATAGTGAAGGGGTCACAGTATAAGTCACCGTATAAATATTTTTAGGCTCAATATAATGTATTTCATTTAAATATCCACTACATTCATGTTTGTTGATTACTCCTCTTTGTATATTTAAAAAAAAAAGTTTAAATCTGTAAATAATTTTTTAAGTAATTGACCTAGTAAAATGTGTTTTTCCCACCCTTTCCCCCTGTTAGATTTTAGAATGAAAGGGTTAAAATATGGGTTACAATTTTGACCTTAATAACATCCTTAAAGTGAGCATTTCAATAAACTCATTATTTGCAATTTAAAGATCAGCAGTAGGTATCAAGAGTGCTCATAGAACACTTATATTGGTCAGTAAATATATTTTGAAAACTGTTCATGGCTGATTGCCAAAGATTGCTGAAGACACAGTTGCAGATAAAACTGATTGGTAGGAAAAGAGCAAAAGGTTGACAACTAGAGATAAATACTTACTTTGCTTGGACACATGGCATAAGCAGTACAGAAATACACGCCTGATCCAGAACTCCGGTGGTTGTGTTAAGTGGTGAAGGATAACTGCTTATGTTTATCACCGAAATACATGATTGCTACTGCAATGTCAAACAGTTATTTGTAAATCTTGTACATTTTCAGTGATTTAATATGTATAACTCATTCTGCTTATATTGTAACCTCCAGCTCATATTCCTGGCCTTTCTATGGTCTCCCTTTTTACTTCATTATTTATAGACATTGGTGAGAAAAGGTAGCTTTTCTTAATCCTTGCTTTATCTGTATATATATTTTTTTCTTATTTAGTTAAAGCTGCTTTCCCCCAGAAATTATTAAAATATGTTCTGTAATCTTTCCCATTATTTACACACCCCCCCCCCCCCCCCCATATTTTGACCATTTTGCCATTTAATTCTTGGAACTTTTGGTGTTTCAGTTGATTTCTCTGTTAGTGTTCAGAAGTGCTGTTGTTTCTTTCCTTTTTACAGATTCACACTGTCTTTCACAACCATTACAAACATGTGCTGATGATTTATGAGGTTTATTGTACACAGTTCATCACATTAGTTTCTCCAGTACTCACTGGTAGGGATCATATTGTTGCTTTTGTAATCATTGTTCTAAAGAACAACAATCAGTGTCTCTGTACTCTGACATCTTATGAGAAAGAGCACTGAATCTTTTGTTAAAAAGGAACATTGGGACTGGCTCATAGAGTTGGAGGAAATCGCTGGTAATAGGTTTCTTATTTGTGGAGATTTCAATGGGGAAAATAGACAGGGAAATGCTTTAGCAGAGGCTATGGTGGATGCAAACATAGTCTGTATAAACGAGGGTAGGCCAACTAGAATGACAGTGAGGCCTGTGAGTTACTCTGTGAGCAGTACTGGACACAAAAATGGAGTGTTCTAGGTGATCACGGGAGTGACCATTTGCCATGCTCAGTCTTGATTTCTGAAGCTAGCAAGATCATGGCTGTGAGAACATGCAGGACTTCTAAGTATGAGAAGGACAGTACCCTTCTTGGAAGCCTCCCACAGAAGGTATGCAGCAGAACCACCTCCTCCGATTTTGTGCAACCGTCATGGTGGACCCAAGAAGTAGAACATGGAGAGCAAAACGAGCAGCAGTTAAAACAATTACAGAAAGTGCGAAAGGCATGTCACAGGTTACAAGAGGATGTAGAGAAGCTAGAAAGAGATAGAAAAAAAAAGTAGAAGAGTTCAAGTGGTGTGCAGCAGATGCAAAAGGGGCTAAATGGGAATATTTTATGAGCAAAATTGGAGGGAATAAACCACTGGGTAGGTTCTGGAAACTTCACAGACAGATGCAAAGGAAGGATTAGCCAGTCACAACAGGCATTATATACACTGATAATGATAAGCCAATGACAACAGACAAAGAGAAGGGGAAGGCTTTTTTTAAGAGAGATTTATATTCCAAACCGATCATAATGATAGGGAGCTTAGATATTCTATTAGAGTTAATCTGTCCAATATTATAAATGATAACCATTTTCATGATATTGTTAGGGTGGAAAAAATAAAATATCTATTGCAAAAAACAAAAGACACTGCACCGGGGCCAAACGGTCAGATATGTCCATATGAAGAGTATGAGTGATGAATACTTGAGGGAGATGGCTTTTCATTTTAACCAGAGCATCAGAACATCTTCAGTACCCCAGTATTGGGTACACAGCTACCTAACTCCCCTTCGAAAAAGAAAAGGCAAAGATCATACCAGACTCAGCGGCTTCAGGATTATCATGAAAAGATACCTGGTCAAATGCAGCTACTTTTGCTTTTGATGTTTATGAAGGCTTCCAGAACAGTCAGGAGACAGTTGTGTCAGTACTAGATCTTGAGGATGCCTTCAATAGAGTCAGGTATGATATTTTGCTATCTGCACTCTTGGAGAAGGAGGCTTGTCCCTGGCTTGTGAAATGGATAGCAGCTGTACTGTATTCACATATGGTTGCCTTTCACCTGGGATACATGGACCTTAGAACCATGTAATATAGCCCCGGGACTACCCCAGGCTTCTGCAATTTCACCAGTGCTCTTCAATGTGTATACAAGCAAGATTGCAGAACTTAAAGCACCCGGTGTTGGAAGGATATTGATATTTGCTGATGATGTTCTTGTAAATAGGCAAGGGAGTAATAGGCAACGGATAGCACAAGAGCTATAGGCAACTAGACAAAGTGACTGGTGTGCAGAAACTGGTGCTGTCATAGACTCAGAAAAGGCGGCTGTTTTGTGGTGCTCTCTGGATAAAAGAATTGTAAGAGCTGATGTTCTAAGCCTCACAATTAATAACAAGAAAAGAAAGCATACTGAGATACCTGGGTATCACTCTTGATAGAAGCCTGTCCTATAGGGATCACGTGGAGGCAGTTATGGTGAAATTCTATAAAGGACTCAATGCTCTCAAGATTATGCCAGCAGTGGACATGGAACAAAGAATGCTGTTCACAATGTTCCAGCATGTGATCCTGTCGGTTATAGATTATGGACTTGGAATGCTTACCATATTAAACAGTCTGCTAATGAAACTTGAACCCATACAGAATTAAGCCATGTGGGTAATTCTGGGATGTTGTTGCGCGCTGATTTGGGCAAAGTGTGATTTGTGGGAAGGGGCAATGGTATGACTGTACTTCCTGTAAGTTCACGGGGGAAGAGTGTCAACAGGACTGAGTATTAAGAGCAGACCAGTGAAAATGTATATTCATGAGCAAGGCGTGCATGCACGAGAGAAAGTGGACGCGTGGGATTCTGTGTGGTGGGCTGAAAGCGTGGATAACGAGATAAAGTGTGAATTAAGCGACAGCGTGATTCTCGGGTAACATCAGCCACCCGCATAAGCGTGATCTTCGGGTACGCTCACATGAGCGAGTCCCGAGGACACCCACAGAATCATGATTCACGAGAACGCCCACACTCGTGTAATCACCATCTACCTACACGGACTCGACATATATAAATTGGGCTGCGCTGTCAGTCGAGAGAGAGCAGTCAAGATAGAGCGAGAAGCGAGAAGAGAGAGAAAACGAGAGTCAGAGACCAAGTCAGGGTCCAGGTAATCTCTCGAGTCTAACAGACAAACATACCGTACGACTATCGGGCATTTAGGTCCGAGTAAGTGTCGAGATTGCGGTACATGTCAAAAGTATGAGAGGACTTATGGTAGAAGTCCTGTCGGTCATTGGAGTCTAACCGACTAGAATACCGTACGACTATCAGGCATTTAGGTCTGAGTAAGTGTCGGGATTGCGGTATGGAAAATATGGTCCCGCTGGCAAAGTAAGTCCAGGGGACAGGAAGACCAGTAGTGCCTGGTTTCGGAGTACGGCAAGAGAAGTCCGTCTCCAGTCAGCCGTGTTGTATGCTGAATTAATATCAAGGTCCAGTGAATGGGAGAAGTCGTCCTGTTCAGCTGTACGACGCGTCCAGAGAGTGGGACGCCGTCATCCTGGTATCTGCAGTAGTCCAGGAGAGGTCACTACACATTGAGAGATAGAGAGCTGTGAGGACAAATGAACGATGTGCGAATGTCAGCTGTGATCAATAACTACGTCTCTGCATTTGTGTCATGTATCCTGTTAAATAAACTTGTATGACGGTGTCATCGTCGTCGAGTTGTCTTGTTAAGAAAGGAAGCTGAAGAGTACCTGCTAGACACTTGGTAGTGTGCTGACTCAATTTAGCACACAACAGATGTACAAGAGATACCCCGGTAGTATGTATGCAATATATAGTTGGACAGCCTTCTTTTACAGATAGGCTCAAAGTTCTGCAAGCAAAGTCATACCTCAGAGTAGCTGCAGACAAGAAGGACCTCTTGCATGAAGCCCTGGGTAGATCTAAGGGTCACAGACCCTAAGCTAAAGACACAGTCAGCCCTCATACCGTAAACCGTCTACTTTCACGGACGTGCATGCCTCGTTCGTGATAATACATTTTCACTGGTCAAAGTTCTCGCCCCCTCACTACTCGGGCCAATGTTGACACTAATCCCCTTGAACTCCCGGAAAGTACTATCATACCACTCTGTCCCTTTACACACTATTACACTCTCCCAAATCAGCACACAACAGACATAAACAGACAGATGACATGCCGGTTTTCCACCACTTGGTGGTGAAGTGATGTAGGACAAACTAGATGTTGTGAGAGCCCTTTGGGAGCGAGTGAACAGCGAGGAAGCGCAAATAGATCATTACAGTCTGAGGAGAATGGCTCTGTGAGGAGTTACCAGGGAATCTGGCCGACGCTCAACACTCAAGGAAAGGGCGAGACAGATATGCAAACAAACAGTTACTGGTGCCATCTGAATTGGAACTGAATTGGGATGGAGCGCTTATAGGGGTGCCCTGAGTGCTATGATATCAATTCTTTATTCAAGATTCAACAAGATTCAAGAAAAAGCTATTAAAACAAAATCCACAGCTCAGTGTTGTGCCATGCACTCAGCTCAGTAGCTAAGTGACAAAAAAAAAAAGTCTGATATCCTACCAATGAGCTTACTAAGTTGGCTAAAATAAGAGCTGTCTTTTGTTTTAGTCCATGATTTTTTTTTCACATCTGCACACTGGGAATTAATGGTCCTAAATTTATTTAACAAATGCCAGCATCAATTCATACGTGGTAAAACAGAATAGTATGAATTAACCATAAACATTTATTGTTTATTATAAAAAATAAAAATACCATAAATTTTTTTTCCATCTCCATATTATCTGGAGCTTCATAAAATGGGCATGGAGTAATAACATATTTTTTAGTTCCTGCCGGGGAAGGAAACTTTGGCGCCATCCTACCACATTATGCAGTGGCCTAGAGTATGTGTAGGCTAAATTGTTCAATTAAATGGCATTATCTGCTACAGGGCGCCTCTTAGCTGTGTAGTTTTGTATTCAGGTGTTTCATTTGTTTTGTTTGAATATTGTTTGCTTAGTCCTACAACGACCTGCAAACAACAGACATCAGCACTTTCCTGCTTTTATCAAGTGGCTGAATGACAATGGTGTCCCAACAACGTCTGTGGAAATAGCGAAATTTGATGATTTTGGTTATGGACTGAAAGCTGCTAAAGATCTGAAGGTAAATTTAAATAGTTATTGATCAACATATTTTTAAAATTAAAAATACTACCCTTTCACAAATGTCCACAGTTCACATTTTTCATATTACTTTTACTGGTAGTGACCCTTGGAACCTTGAAAACCCAACAAGTTCCTTTCAGCGCGCCTTCAAAAGACTTGTTTAACTTTAGTTTGTTTAGCAGTACCGCTGATAGTATATTATAGCTTGTAGACAGTAGTAATATTCTTCTAAATTGTTTACATTTGTTCTTGTCTCCTGTCTTACAGCTAGGTATCAGTTATATGACTGACAGTTGATATAATTCTTTTAAAATTAGACGCATGGCTGAGCTTAAGGACTCTAAATCTAAATCTATTCTTATCAAAGAAACAACACAAGCCAAAACAGAGATAGAGAGAATGAACAGATGGAAAAAGGAAAATATAAATAGGATTGCATGCCAATAGAGGTTAAAGCAGGCGTATGAATGTGATAAATCAGAGTAAAATAGGCAAGGAAAAGCCTTGCAGGATGCTCTGCTGGAATCAAAGTGGGTCTGCATCAACAGTGGCAAACCCACAAGAATGGCAATAAGGAAAGGGGATGCTGACAATGTAATTGATCCCATACTGGAACCTGACATTGTATCGAGTGTACTAAGTGATCATGGAAGAGACTATCTACCGTACTCTGTCCTGCTGTCTAACCTGGGCAAGACCATAGTAAGGAAGACACATACAGTCTTCAAATATGACAAGACAGAATTGCTTATTGGCCGCCTTAAAAAGAGAGCTTGATCAGGGGCCACCAGGAGTAGAAAGCCAAGATTGCTAAGTTCAAGCTGTGCACCGCAAATGAGAAAAAAATAAAAAAAAAATTGAAAGGGGAGCTGTTCTTGAACAAGACTAGAGAAGATAAAACAATGGGTAAGTTCTGGAATCTGCATAGGCAGATGAGCTGAAAGGAGCAGCACAACTCTGTTGGTATGATATACTGTGAAAACAACCAGGTCTTGTCAACTGACAGTGAGATTGGCGAGGCTTTCCTAAAAAGATTCATAAAGCAGACAGATAAGAATGACACGGCCATCAGAAAGCCAGTTGGTATTGATCTTGATCTTTTCTAGTACAATCAGGAATAAGACATACAAGAACATTGTACAGGTAAAAGATGTAAAGCATATGCTAAAGAACACAAAAGTTAGTACAGCCTGACCAGGTGAAGTTAGATATAATCATAAGACAAGTTTAGGTGTTGAAGAATGAGAGGAAATGTCATATTCCAACTTCAGCATTGAAAAAGTGCTGGTTCCAAAGGAGTGGCTGCCTAGTTACCTCCTACCAATCCCAAAGCCAAAAAAAAAATCATATGAAATTAATTGGCTTAGAATTATTGCATTACTAAATACATTTGGAAATATTATGGAAAATATAGTTGCTGGCAAATTACAGAATCACTTAGAGAGTTTGGAAGTTAGACACTTGGGGAAATGCCATTGTCCTGGCTTATGATGTATATGAGGGGTTCCAGAATAAACATGAAGCAGTGGTGGCATTGGACCTGGACGATGCATAGAACAGGGTTAGATATGACATTTTACTGTACAAACTTATGAATATAAAAGTCAGTCCCTGTATTGTCAGTCGGATTGCAGCAGTCTTGTATGAAAGGCAGACCTCCTTTAGTTTAGGCTTGTGGTGCTCTGAACCCTGTAGTATCCCACCTGGCCTACCACAATGAACCGAAATTTCCCCTGTACTTTTCAATGTGTACACAAGCAGGAACGTGGCAATAGAGGCTGTGGGTATAGGGAGCTAATGATGTTTTAGTCTACAGACAGGAGAGAAATAGAATAGAAATATCTGGAGAACTTCAGAAGTGGTGGACAAGGCAGGTAGGGGAGTGGTATGAGGAAAACTGGTTTCATCATTAACCAAGATAAGGCAGCAGTATTTTGGTATTCATTAAGTAAAAGAATTGTTGGAGATAAGGTGCCGAACATTACAATATATGACAATAACATAAAGAGAGATAACTCACTAAAATACCTAGGAATAACTTTTGACAGAAGCCTGTCTCTCAGATATCATATATATATATCAGAGGTAGTTTTAAAGATAAGGAAAGGACTGCATGAGATGAAGGTGATGGCATCAGCGGAGAAGGAACAGAGAATGCTGTGTATACTCAATCAGCATCTGATTTCGGTGATGGAGTATGGTTTGGGGACTGTAAACATTATCTCACACTCAAATAGAGAATTTGGAACGCATGCAAAAATGAAGCCTTATGAGTCATTTAGGTATATACTCAGTACATGCTAATCGTGTGTATGTGACACATACTTGCATTGCTGTCCGTATAAGAAACATACAAGGTGTTACAAGCTAAAATGTACCTAAATCCCAAAGGATAGGGATCGTCTTCTACACCAGGCCTTAAAGGATAGTAAGAGCATCAGCTGAAAAGAGGATGGCACAAACAGAAGTCACTATAAGAAATGTTTGTACTACTGACAAAATATCCCTTAGTGAGAAACCTTATAAATAATAATTAATAAACCTTATAAACTTTTAGTGGTTGAATAATGCATCTTATTGGTAAACACAGGTTAACATTTGTTTTTGTTCTCATAATAATAGTAATTGTAACAGATGTCTTTAAATAGATGTTTTCTATGTTATGATTAGGAAAGTGAAAAATTTCTTCACATACCTAGAAAGTTGATGATGACAGTGGATTCAGCAAAGGAATCAGCATTAGGTAACTATGTATTTGCATTGATTGAATGATTTGTTTGACATCGTGAAAGATCTGAACATCAAGGAAGTTTGGCTAATAAACAGCATCCTGTCTCGGAAGCTAAAATATTTTGGTTATATCAAGCGCCACGACGGATTTGAAAAAATTATAGCAGAAGGCATGGTACTAGGAAGGAGGGGCAGGGGCCGACTGACACGAAGGTGGGCACAGGATATAAGTGACTCCTTGAGTATGAAAGTACATGAGGCGGGAGAACTGGCGAGAGACCGAGTTTCTTTCAGGCAGACTGTGATGAGAGCGACGTTCTCCAAAGTACCTGCTACATGATGATGATGATGATGATGATGATGATGAATGATTTATATAAAATGTTTAAGAAAAGTGATTTGGGACAATTGGTTAAAGAAAAAATATTCTGAACTCACCTGAAAAAGATGTACACATATAATTACTTATACAGATAAAAATGTCATTAACTATACAACTACCAGTATTTATTTTAGCTGCCATGTGACACTGGTTAACATGTGTGCCCAAAACCTCTTGCTTATTTTCCAGATAGCTACCTACAATGTCAAGCTGTCTGGAATTTTGTAGGTTTTCTCTGTCTGCTTTAAAAAAAATAAGATTATCCCATTATTTTGGATAAAAAAATTTTTTTTTTAATATTAAGTTTTTTTAAAGAGATCTTTATTGCTGTTTTTATTTGGTTACTGTGTTCATATCTTCTGTTGAACCTCAGCTTTGTAGCCACCAAGTGTAATTTCCATTATTTGTTGCTAGTGAAATCAAGTCAGACTAGTTGTACAAAGTGCTAAGATGATTTTGGAAGCTTTTTCAATGATTTTGCTCACTTATCCTGAATGCCCATTATGGAACAGACTTTAGAAATGCAAACAATAACCATTTAACTGTTGCAACAAAACTATTCCAGAAACATATTTATATGGGTGTTCACGAATAGCTGAGTCAGGAAGCTGTTAGGGATGGAGTAGGAGGAATCCACATTGAATGGACCAGTGGTGGATAGCTCAGCCAGGAAGCTGTTAGAGATGGAGGAGAAGGAATCCACATTGAATGGACTTGTGGTGGATAGCTCATCCTGGAAGCTGTTAAGGGGGAGTAGAAGGAATTCAATTTGAATGGACCTGTGGTGGATATTGCAAAATTCCCAGACATGAAAGCACTTTTTCTTAGGATTTAAAGGAAATAAATCCTGGATGAGCTTTCAAAAATGCCCCTGTCACCAAGTGCCAGTGCAACAGTGAAGGAATGATGTCTTGTAGTGGACCCACCTCTCCTAGAAATTCAAATACAGAGAAATCTGCCACTTATTGAAGGTGACAGTATTAATTGGTGGCTCATATATTAGTCTTCAAGGGAAGAACCTTGAGTTCAGTAACGAATCAACATCGTTACTGGAGTAACACAGTGTAGCACTTCGCAGCCTTTACTTTCATAATGAACCAGACTAGGCAGACTTCCTGGCCACTAAATCTTTGCCCCTTATGTTTGCTGGATCTGGAATGTACAGTCAAGCACACCAGAAATTAAACATGAGAATTCAAACTGGACCTAGGTCTCCTCAAGAGCAACCAGATAGAAATATCACAAGAAGATGACTAAGTAACATAGTGAACTTGAGGAAATCAAATACTATAATGATTATTTAGCAGAAAGGACCACAAGACAGACATCGATGAACAGTATGGACAAGAGCATCCAAACTAAGGAATGAATCTTCTTTATCCCAGCTGACTTGTCATCACTGTCCTCTGTGCCCTAACACTAATTCCATTGACTTAACAATTTTCAAATTTTAAACTAAACATGTGACTGTCGTTCTGATAATGTAGTGATTACACCTGACCTAAAATAATCTCCAGTCGAATCTCTGGATGATAGTTGATCTCAGACCTAAGTTAAATGTTATACACACAAGATGTGTATGATTTACTTCAGTGATTTATTGACAGCAATCACTGACATTTAGCTTTCATAACTTTAATAACTTTAATCAAACTGTTCAGTAAAGCAGATACAGTCTTCTAAACAGACATTGGTTTCTGGAGTCAGACATATAAATGTATATAACATGAAGACTATGGGTTCCCACTTGACTAACAGTCCAGTATGAGTGGGAATCTTATTTCATTCAGATGTTCAGGTACTGATATCAGTACTACCCTTGTTGACTGCCCCAGCATCCTCCTTGATTCAGTTTGCATAGGATGGGGATAAGTCACAGACAGTGTCTCAAAATCTCACTACAACTGGATCATGCGAACACAAGTGATGTCTCTCAGATTTAACAAGGTTTAATCTGGTTGTGGAGGTAGCATGGCACAATCTGATAGTGTTGCCTAATTTTGTCTCTCAAAAATATATCTTGTAAGATGTCTATGAACTGAACTGTTACCTCTTTGTTCAATACTGAATCTCTAGGTAAACCTAAGTATTTGCAGTCATCTCCAGTATCCTCTTAATTAATAAATATTAAACTCTGTTTTGCAACAGCCAAATTAAAATGTACACAGTACATTCTTCTCTAAGAAGATAGTAAGCAATAGCTCTGAACAATGGTACTCAAGTATATTACTGGTGGTGCCAAACATGATGGTATAAACCGTGGCATAATTGAGTTAGATTTTGTTACTTAGTAGATGGTACTGTAGTAAATATGCTGATTAATAGCTTTCTTGATTGACGTTAGATGTTACAACTGGGTAAGTATGGCGGTAGGTAGTGATTCAGGCATTCCAGCCTGATCATATCTAAAATACATCAAAAATATATGTAGCTAATCACATTCCATACTTAACATCCAGACAGTGGACAAGAGGAGGCACAGAAGTAAACTCAGTCGGACTTAGTCTGGTAGTTAGATTCATTGCAGCAAGCAATTATTGATAAATTAGTCTGGTAGTTAGATTCATTGCAGCAAGCAATTATTGAAGAATTAGTCTGGTAGTTAGATTCATTGCAGCAAGCAATTATTGATGAATTAGTCTGGTAGTTAGATTCATTGCAGCAAGCAATTATTGATGAATTAGTCTGGTAGTTAGATTCATTGCAGCAAGCAATTATTGATGAATTAGTCTGGTAGTTAGATTCATTGCAGCAAGCAATTATGGAAGAATTAGTCTGGTAGTTAGATTCATTGCAGCATGCAATTATTGATGCTGCCAAAGTGATTTGATGAAAGAAAAATGAAAAAAAAAACAGAATCATTGTTTTCCTGTGTGACTGCATGTCAGTCCTCTAGGCGGCTCAAAGGGATCCACGAGATAACATGGAGAGAGAAATGACCTGCCAGCAAAACAGACTCAGAAAAAAATGAAATTGTTCTCCAATAGATCTCGCCTCCCTGTGGCGTATCAGAAAATGAGTTAGCCGACAGACTTGCAAATAAAAATGGAACAAAAGATAAACAAAACACCAATTCATTGTCATTATCAGAAATCAAAGCACATATTAAGGGAAAATACAAAAAATTGTGGAGAGAACATACCAGCAGTAAACATCCACAAGACCCCATCAGCAGACTTAACAGAAAGCAACACACAATAATATTCTGTCTACGACCAGGACATTGCAGACTCAACTACCACATATATAAAATAAAGACTATAGTCCCTGGAACTGGCTCATAAACAGCATTCTGTTCCAAAAGTTGAAGTATTTTGGCCGCATCAAGCATCATGGTGGCTTGTAAAAGTCGATGATGGAAGGTGCAGTTTGTGGAAGGCGAGGCAAGGGGTCGACTATCGCGAAGATGGATACAGGACATTGAGAAGTGTTGGCATTGAAAGCACATGGGGTTGGAGAGCAGGCTATGGAAAGGGATACTTTCAGGCTTGCCGTGAAGAGAGCGACGTTCTGTAAAGGCCTTGATGATGATGATGATGTACAGTCCCCACAGTGTGCCTGTCAAACAGGACCACAAACACCTGAGCACATTCTGCAGACCTGCCTACTTTATCTACAACTTTGAAAAGAAATCTGGCCTCAAGAGCAAAGTGTACAGAGCAGGCAATGGGGGAACCATGAAGGACCTGCAGCTGACATGTAAGTTCATAGAGGCAGCCCATCTGATGATCTGTCCTGTGCATATGAAGCCAGTCACACACACAAAAAAGAAAAAGAAGAAGAAGAAGTAGATTCATTAGATCCCAGGATGGACAAATTGTGCATAGCATGTATGCATTTGAACAGAAGTTCTAGTAAATGCACCAGTGAACAAGGACATCCAGATGGTAGGGGTGATCATAAGGCAAGTTTAAGAATAAAGTAAGCATTACAGTAGTTGCATTCCTCTCTGCAACCACACAGCACTAGTATCCAGGGATATATCGTATACAACCCCTCAAATGACAAGCAATTTCTAAAGCTTCTCTGCTTCAGCCGCACCAATTTCAGGATTGAATCAGAAGTGCTGCAGGTGAGAATCACCCCTTCTGTATATCCTTATCTCCCAGGAGTTAGGAAAATAGTCATGATACTCTTGATGGTGACCCAAAGACACCCCAATCTATCCGAAGGTAAGGCAGTAAAGATTCCCAGTACTATCCTAGATTGATACAACGACCAGATAAGTAAAGGTGACATCTTTAATGGTTTCACCACCTACACACTGGTGGGCGATGTACCCAAGTTGTTCAAGTGCCCAAAAATCACACTTACTCACTGAAGTCTGCTGTTGCACATCGAGCATTAGTTATAATATTTAATACTCGTACCTGCAATTTAGAATAAATAATTCCATATAAATCCTATGAACACTTTAGTAAAACACAACCACACTCAAGGTACATGTGTTGTACCATTCCAAGTCTGATCCGAATGGAAAGATATGTTAGCCACTAGCATTAGTTCCAGCTGACAAACTGCGTATCAGGAGTAACAGCACGTATATACTGTCACCCCCTTTAATCCTGGCCGCTAGCACGGATAAGCGAGTTTACTTAACACTAACAGTTTGTTAAATTGTATATGTCCAACTTTATTACTTGGGCAGATTATAAATATTAGCCAGAAACATTCTGCTCAGATTGTAGATTTCATTTGATACTTAGGATAGACCAGCGAGTTCCAGTTATACCTCTGACATCATATGTTTACTGTCCTGTTGTCAACTATATTATATGTACAGGGTAATTTCAAACTTCTTAGCAGAGGGGCTCAGAGTAGTTTTGTGACATATCGTACAGTGAAAGCCATGTGGCACAGCACCACAGACTTCATAGAGGCCTTTGACCTTCTTTTCTAAAAACCACTGGCAAGGAGAATTTAAAAAAAAGAAGAAGATTATTAATCAGTTTTTGTACCCTTGCTGTTAATTTTTTTCTTTTCTGAATTATGTATGACTCTAATCTCTAGGTCCACTCATTGCTGAGGACAAGATCCTGCAAGTTATGCCAAATGTCACTTTGGCAATGCATTTGCTGAATGAAAGATTTAGTAGGCAGTCCTTCTGGCAACCTTACATAGGTGATTGAACATTTGTTTTTTTTCTCTTTGAGGGAATGCGTCCCACATAGTTATGCATATGCCTGCCTTAGAGACCAGTGTGTCTGTCTTTAATGTGTAGTTGTGTCAAGTTTACATGATCTATTTCTGACATATTCAACACAAGTTAACTGGTTTAATCTACTCATGTGCAAGCTTTCCCTTCTCAGCATTTGATTTGTAAGAAATAAAATGATACAGAAAGCATTAATCTCTAATCAGTAGTGTAAATTAATAGTTCTTCTTTTATTTGCAAGATACTTTGTCTTAACATCAAAACTTATCCTGTCCATGTCTGTGCGACGTCCGTGGCTTAGGCGTTGCAAGTCTGACTCGTAATTCTAACGTACCGCGATCGAAACCCATTGCTGGCTGCGTGGATTTTTATCATGGTATGGAGCGTCGCAGGTCTACCCAGCCTAAAATGGGTACCAGGATGGCTGTCCTGGGGAAGTAAAGACGGCCGGCGTAATATTGACCACATTACCCACCTAATGTCGATCGGTCTGTAAAAATATGGGATGCTCTTCCTATATGCCCAATGCGCCTAAGGCGTGAAAAGGGATCTTTACTTTACTTCTCATGATATTTTCATCTGAATGAATTAAACTAACTTCATTTGTCAAACATGTTTATAAATGTCATGGTCTGATCAGCTCAGTGGCTATCTTTACATACAATTAGTTGCAGTGGATATACACTATACAGCAAACCTGCATACAGGACGTTGGTACCCTACTATCATGGACATGCTTGCTACAACATGTACAGGTACAGACATTGAAGATGATCTAGTAATTACAGTCACTGGAATTAACAGCATCAAAACATCAAAGAAGTCTGCTGATTGTCCTGATGGCATTCACTGTGAAGACATTGACATGCTGACTGCAACATTCATAGATGACCTATATATAGACTATAAAGGCAGCATCTGTAATGGCTTCATTCCCAGAAAGTTAGCTGCATAGCTACCTGATAGAAAATGTTGGCAAAGATGTCACACACATAAATGGCTAAAGCATCATTACAATACAAATCACACTAGGCAAAACAGTTGGAAAGTTATTAACAAGAAGGTTGGCAAGCCAGTTTGAAACATATCCACCACTACCTCCTACACTCAGAGCATACAAACAAAACACAGAGACATGGCATAATACTGCCATGCCACAAATGAATCTGGCATTGAAATACAGTCAGTTTCCATAGTTCTTGAGGATGCATATAGTGAGGTTTCCTTTCCAACAACTAATGTGTCGGCTACTGGAACTCAACACCCCCCCCCCCCCCTCCCCCCCCTACCCAGTCAACCCCATATCTCATTCAGTGAGATGTTTGTGCTGCTGTGTTCCACACGAGCGTGGTGCTTCAGTATAGTAGTTAGTCTTTGAGCAGATAATAGTAAGCCCAGGTTTGCCACATGGCTCTCCATTGTCTCCGATCCTCTTCATTATACAATCAAGATCACAGGAGAACAGCTGAGTGGCAGAGGAAGAACTGTATCATATGACATTCTTGTGTACTGACAGGGCAGGAACAGAGCTGATATTGTTTTGGATCTATAACATGAATTAGATCTCATATCATCCTGGCGTGATATCTAGGGGGCGACAATTAATTTATCCAAAGCGAAAGTCACCTAGTTCTTATTTAGTAATCACCTTTTCAAAACACAAATGACAATGATGAAACATGCAGTGTAACATTACTACAAACACTCCAGACAACTAGGAACAGTGGAGGATGGACACTAAAATCAGACTAAAAATCACAAAACATCATGTAATCAGTGCAACAATGGTAGGAAGAAAGAAAAGGAATTCTGCAAAGTCAATCACCACCAATGAAACAAAGACAAGTTATGACAGAGTAACACATGAGTTGCCCCTAGTAGCAGCCATCATCATCACTGCTAAGATTTGGAATACTGAACTCATAGAACTGGCACTTAGGTATAGGGTTAACCGCGGGTGCTGGCCCCTGAAACGAAACTGAAACGAAACCCTCCTCACACATCTAGGAAGGCTGATGTATTGACTCATGAACTTCTTCGGAATATTGCATTCATCGTTCATGTCTGAAAACACTGACTAAAACATTCAGAAGTTGATACTCTGTCACTATCCTGGGTATATCATGGGTCTAGAGTCTGTGTTAATTATTAATACAGTTACAGACTAATGCACTCAGGTATATGCAGGAAAGATACCAGACAAAACTCTGGACATTACACATGACTAGGGATAAATCTCTCCCAAGTAGTAAATTACTGTCACTGTACCGTCACCAACAGGCTGCAGGAACAGGAGGGACATGATGAATCATTTTAGTTTCTTCTGGCTGCTGGATGCAGGGAAGGCTGGATACTGTGTCGATCTAGGTTTGTTAACCTGGCTTCCAAGGAAGTAAAAAATCCTGTGACAAAAGGGAAAACCAGAATTAACAATCTTCCTACACCCTACATACCTAGTTCCTCACCTCTCCATCTATCCACATACATTTAGCTCAGATGTCTGTGCTAGGGTTGTAAGACTGCAGTAGTCTGTACAACATCATTGTTGCTATCAGCTGAGAAGTGGGTAGGGAACAATAATAATAGGTATAAACACCTCTGGTAAAGGATACCCTTCTCCCCTTCCATACAGGCATATCTATACTCACACAAGTATCTTACAAATACAAGAATATAGATATAAATATAAAATACAGAAAAGCTACACACACACAGATACAGCCCTTCCTCTCCAAGTCTGTTTACATTTTGCCAACATGAATATGTCATTTCAAGTTGGTCGATATTCGCTTGTGCTCTTACCCAGTTATCTCTGTCTGAAGATTTGGTGAAATATTTTCAACAAAATGACACACATTGTAACTGGGATGTCTACTGGAGGGAATTCATCCGCGTCCAAAGCGGTAGTTCGGAGGTTGGAATTTTGGCTTCACTAACAATGAATCTCCCACCTAAGGTCTTGAATTTAAAAATATATCTCTCTTTGTTTGTTTATTAATTCCGTCTGTAATGCATTATTTCATTGTCTTTAATGTTTGAAAAGAAGTTGTCAAACATAATTGTTAACACATTGAAGCATTACAAAATGTTAGGCTGTCTTGTTATGAGACTAGTAGATCTGACAAAGGTTATGATGAGCAGGAAGATCAGTGGTGTTTGCAGATGGGAGTTGACAGAGAGTGAAAATGCTGGTTGGTAGATAGCATCCTGGAAGACAGTCAACAGTCAGCAGAACCACAGAGGCCAAAAATTTGTGAATGAAACACTGTTTTGTATTGCTCAAGAGGTTGAAGTGCTGCCCCATATTTTGATTGCTCAGTACCGTGCACACATGCATGAAGTTATATTGGGTAACCTGCAGTCCATAAGCTCTGCTGCTGATAACCTTTATGCAGATGTCATATACATGTAACTCACAAGTGAACTATACAGGCTTCAACATTCTGTTTTGTTTCTCCCACTTTGAACAGACATCCTTCCACATCAGTATTCTACTCCATTGTACTGGAAATCTGATGATCTACAGCAGCTTAGAGGATCCCCTGTGCAAGGTAATGATTAATCTAACCTATCACAAAGATATTTATAAATATATTACGATAAAGCCTCGTTACACGAATTCCAAGGGATCCAATTTTATTATTCGTGTTAAAAAATGTGTACTAACTGGAACTTCTTCTCTTCGACCATTTACCTCAGCGAGGTATTGGGAGGAGATGTAGGAATCGTTTGTGCACATTTTTCAATGCATTTTACAAGCTAGTTTTCGTTTCTGTTAGGTTGCTCCTGATGATGTCACCCCACATCTTGAGAGGTCTTTCCCTTGCTCTGTGTTCATTATATTTCTTTACCATGGCTCTCTGTGGCAGTTGGTAACAGGGCATTCTCATCAGGTGGCCAAACCATCTCATTTTTTGTTCTTTAATGTATTGTATGACTGGTTTCCGGCCTAGTCTTCTTCTAATTTCTTGATTTTAGACAGGTTAAATCCCCAAATTGAATTGGATTATATCTGCTGGAAACAACACTTCCTGTAGGTACATACTAGTTAAAGATTAAATGGAAATTAATTTTGGGGGCTAAAAACATATTTTCACGGATATTGATTGAAAATGTCATATTTTATGCAGAAAATAGCCAAATTAGTTCTCATTTACAAAGGTATTCAAAACACTAACAAAGGTGGCTTAATGAAAATTTGCACATAAAATTTAGCATTATATTTTAAACATTATGAACTAAAGAAAATTCACTTGGTTTAAAAGTTATGCTCACTTCAGTGGTACAATAATGTGTTTTCATAAGGGGTAGGGGTTATCAGAAATGACAAAATCCTATAAAGTATTCAAGCTGCTGTATTCATTCTAGATCACTATGTTTAAATGTTATTCTCCTATATGTATGCCAAGTTTGGAGACAGTACGTTACTCACTGTTTGAGATATTGTACAACACAGTAAAAAAAAAAGATCAAAAAAGTAATTTTTGAGAAAATTGCGAAAAAGTAACTGACCAAGCTGGTTTTCACAAAAATCCTCTACCTAATGAGTCCCTGCTGCTTATGAATCATTCTCAGGGTATTCCTCAGCTGTCTGAATACTTTATCTTGCTCTTTTAATTTTCTTAACCATTTTTTCCCTTCTTTGGCAGCTCTTTCACGTACTTTATGAAAGCTATGAAATGTAGAAACACTGTGCCACAGCTTAGCCCTGACTAGTTTCCCTTCATTTCATTTAGTAACAGCAGCACTCACAGCTGTTTCTAGTCTGTATCTTCTAACATGGATTACAGGGATTAGACTATCCCAGTTATACAATTTCTAACAAATGGGCGAAGTAATTATTAAAATAGGCTGATAAAATAACTGAGTTATAACAGTTTGAATATGTTGCCTATATAATTAAGTAAATAAATAGTTACCATACCAATTGAAAAAATTAATTTAAATTACTTTCAGCTGGAATTTTGCAACAAAACATGGATTATTATGTAGTGTTAAAAATTAAAATTCCACACTTTTGAACAAAATTAGTGGGGGGAGGGGGGAGGGTTAAACCTGTCCTCAAACACACTAGTATTATTTGTTGCATACTGTGTTGAATAAATATATACAATGTTGTTTCTGGTTTATACTGAATATTAATGTCAACGTTTTTTGGAAGACACTTTGAGGTCAAGATTTATGGTTTTATTTATAGTGATGAGCTAGTAACTTTATATAAAAAGTATATGACAGGGCTTTCTAGCTATCTTTCTTTCTTATGATAATAAGACAGTTTGATCTATTCAGGCATAATGACATAAAAGAATATTAACATACCATTTCAGTGACATTTTTAAAAATCCTTTAATCACTCCGGTGCCATCTCGACAATGGAGGTTGGCTGCAATGGATCTCCAACACACTCTGTCTCTTGTCTTGTCTTGGTTGTACACTCACTCAGACTGTTGTTGGTCCATCTCTTGATGTCCTCCCACTTGTTTCTTTTTCTGCATCTTGCTGTCTTGTCTTCGACCTTTCCCTCCAGAGAGTGTCATGGCTTTTAATTTAGCAAAAACATTTCTGTTGTCTCCTTTTTATTTCTTTCAGTTACAGTCTTTTCATTCACGGTTTCTCCAAAAAGTCTGTATTTGATTTTTGTGTGTGTGTGGTTTCCATCAGATGTGACCTGTTCTTTTGTATTCACATTTCCAGAGACTTATTTAGATTTTCTAGTTGTCTGTTCATTGATCAAGTTTCTGCACCATACGTCAGGTTTAAATATATATAACATTTGACAATTCTCATATTTAATGTGTTGTTAATCTCCCTAGCTGTTAACAATTTGTGCACCTTATAGAGTTTGTTTTTGACATTTTTATCAGATGCAAAAGCACACACAAAAATGACAGATATTTTGTGTCAGTTGATGTCTTTGCCCATTTGACGAATTAAAGACAATCAAAGAATATTTTCACTGAAACCCTTCATGTATTTCTTCATCCCATTGAACTCTTTAGCTGCAGTCTTCCAGTCAAAATGGATGATAGGCACTGTCACTGTTTTTAGTCATAGCACATTTTTTTGCTTCTGACAGAGGCTGTTGCATTTTCCTCCATATTTAGACTGAAAGGATATAGTTTTATTGCCCAGCTACTGAGTTGATTGCAGTTTACAATACTTTGAGCAGTGGACTTTATTTGGAATGTTTGTTTTTAATGTCACCAACTTAGAATTATGAACTATAGATTCTGAAAATTGTGGTTAGTCTGTTGCCACAGAATTGGCTGTGCCTGATGTGATTAAAATTGATCCTGGGGGAAATCTGCTCATCTGTTTGTAACTGCTACTTTTGTGGATGATGAACTGCATTTCTGTGTTGGACTGTTTATGTGTTCGCATTTCTGATGGCTGTCTTATACTTTTAATGCGTGTGTATGCTAGTGGATATGCTGAGACTGCAGTCTGTCAGTTTTACCACAATGTATGGTGATGGTGAACATTTTATGTGATTTTTATTGACACAGGAGCGGAGCAACTATAGGGTGACCTGTTTGCTATGAAGCTAAAACTAAGATTACCAGATTACCAGAATCTCACTGCAAAATCACTTCTGTCATGAGCTTATCGACAAACAACTCAGCTTGCGTTTTTTTAGGGCCTGAATTGCATTGGGTAATGTAAGGCAGAAGAAGAAAGAATTGACTCCCTACAGTAGTTTTATTATGTTAGTATCTGTCTGTGATTAAGGCATTCACAGTTGGTCTCAATTGCTACCAGTCTGCTAGTTTTATACCTGATGGTTCCCATATCATTTTACACACCTTCATTTCCTACTCTCCTTTTTAAGTTTTCCATGGTCATGCTCATCTCCTTTATTCTGTTGCCATCCATGAGCTGAGTTGAGTTAAGTCAAGAATTGACATCACAGCAGTCAGGGCATTCCCATGCATGCTCCGTCCTCATCTTCAGCAGCCAGCACAGAGTTCCAATACTGATGGTACCTGTCACAGTCTGGTTATATGTCCGTCTTGCCTTTCCTCTGAGTGAAGTGAGCTGGCCAGACCCTCTGGTTACACCCAGATGCCTCATTCTCTCCAGGCCATAATAATCTTCTATCTCTGCTGATTCCATTGCTTGTTCCCAGAGGGCCTTGACCACATCTTCCTTGTCATGTATTAATTCACCACCCAAGGGTGCAGATACAGCCAATCTATCTGCTGGCATAGCCTGGAGAAAAGATCCAAAGTACGCTCACTACCCGTGACCTTTCCAGTGAAACTTGCCACTCTGCTTGAAGCATCCCTGTCTTTACCTTTCTCAGCATGCTTCCAGTCTGTTACAATTACGACACATGTATGCATCTTGTTCTCTAGCCACCAAATAGCTGCAGTTAACGCCTCCACCTCATTTTCATGCTAGATGTTGTGTTGTCGTATGCCAGGCTATCTTTGCACTAAAGATTTTCCATTGGCTTTCGCTTCGAAACCCCAGCCACTTCGCTTCCTCTCGACACCGAACCATCTGTATAGATGATCAAATCACCTGGGCATGAATTGTCATGAATCAACTGTTAGACTTCCACCTCCGTAGCACCTGCTTGTCATTCTTTGCACATCCAGCCCAATTTGATCATAACTCTACACTGGTTAGACTTTTGCTCTGGTACTCTGACCCACTCCTCTCCCAATGTTCTCCAGCATGCATGCTTGTCTTATTGCGTCTTCTGCTTGAGCCTTCCAAAATTCTCCCCTTTTCAGCCTCTGACCCTTGCCTGCTGCCAAAGCTTCATACAGAGGATGTTCTCTGTCTGCAGCTACTCTGAGGTATAACTTAGCCTGCAGCACCTTTAGCCTATCTGCAATAGTCGGCAATACAAGGATGTATCACATGCACACAATCAGGGTGTCTCTTGTACATCCCAGGATCAGCCGCATGGCTTCATTCTGTATGTGCTCGTTTCTTTAGCTGACTCTTCGAGACAGTGAGTAACCCCAATCTATAATCAGTTACTGAGATGATTAAGTGCTGGTAAAGTGTGAACAGCATTCTCTGCTCCATATCCATGACTGCCATAATCTTAATGCATTTAGACTTTTTTGAGCCCTTGTAATCCTTAAAAGATACACTTCTATCATAGTTGATTCTAGGTACCGCAGTCTGCTGTCTCTTTTGATGTCCCTGCCATTTATTTTGAGTCTGGGAACATCAGCTTTAACAACTCTGTTGTCCAAAGAGCACCACAGGACTGTTGCCTTTTCTAGGTTTATTACAGCACTCATCTCTGTACACCAGACGATCACCTAATCTACTGTCCCCTGTAACACTTCAACTGTTTGATTCCAATCTCTTCCCTTCCTATATGCGAGAACATCATCTGCAGATGTCAGTATGCTGCCAAGTCCAGATGTTTCCAGGTAGGCAATCTTGCTCCGTAAAAACATTGAACAATACAAGTGAAATTGCAGATTGTTGCCATCCATTAGAGAGTTGTCCTTACCAAAGTGTCATGAGGCATTCTACAAACACACCAAAGCCATCTCCGTCTTTCTTTGAAAATGCTTGCTAGTGATGAGCGCTTATGGGAGTGTACATTCTCACTTTCCATTCCCTGCTGTTTGCATCTTTGATGGGTTCAAAGATTCGTGGTAAGACTGTTTTCGAAAACCTGTAAAAAGGCTTTGTCTCTTTTAGTTGTGCTCCAAATTTCAGAGTCATATAAAAAACTGGTCTTATCAACGTTTTATCTATTTTGATCTTGGTGTTGCAAGACAGACATTTTGACTTTAGCAGGTGATGAAGGGCATAGTACACTTTATTGCCAGATTCTAGATTATATTTCTTCTCTCAGCATGTTGGAGCAGTTGAAGTTTGCACACAAGTACTTATCTGTTTCCATTTGTTTAATTTTCATATTATCAACTTGAATGTGACCAGAGTTTATATCATTTCCCCTGTCTAGTTATTATCATATATTCTTTCTTATCTTGATTGATAACTAGTCCCATTTTTTGAGCTGATTATTTTGAGAGAGTCAGTGTTTTAACAGTCTCTAGTTCAGTTTCTCCAACGATATCAATGTCATCTGCATTGCCAAGTATTCTTGTAAATTCTTCTATAGTACACTCTCAATGTCATGCTCCCATTGTGATCTTTTAAACTATAAAGGCTTTGTTAAAGCCCTCGTTTTACAGCCTTAAGTTCTTTAAAAAACTTTCTGGATTCATTGTTCTGAAGGTTAGCTTCCATTATCTATGACAATGTTGTTAATGTATTCTCGCTTTTGGTGCCTACTTTTATAGCTCTTTACGTTCTTTTCTGCATTTTTCTTTATTTCATATGTTACTAGTAACATTTAGCCAAATCTGCCTGGTATGTTTTTTCTTACTGACTGCTTCTTCACATTTTTAATTGAACCATTTTTTTTTCTGTTTATGGTGGACACACCAAGACATTCTTCTGCAGTGATTTGAATTATACTCTTAATATCCATCCAGGTTTGGTCAGTGTCTTCCTCTGATGGAATTTGTAAAATTTCAATTTTATGTTTTATCTGCAAATTTCTCTGACATAGATGTTTCTTGTAATCTTTCTCTATTGTACTCTGAATTTGATCTTTGTAACTTGGTGTAGAAGGTTCTGTTTAACTTGATTTTGAATGTTGAACCATCCAGATAATGGTCACTAGGACACTCAGCTCCTCTTGTAGCTTTTAACTGGTTGTATGTTCGATGCATTTCTATTTATTAAAATGTGATCTATTTGATAATAAGTTATCTCGTCACATGATTGCCAGGTTTTTTTATGCATATCTTTTCTTTGAAATCTGGTGCTGCTTATCTTAAGTCCTTTCAATACAGCAAGGTTGATTAATCTCCATCCATTATCATTGGAATTTATATGTAGGCTTTCTATTCCTGCTACATTTTTATAGTTGTTTTCTCTTCTTATCTTTGCATTGAAATTTAAGACAATCAATGTGTCTTGTTTTTGAGCTTCATCTATAATACTCTCAAGGAGATCATAAAAATCTTCTTTAATATAATCTTTTTTATCTTCATATTATTCTTAAAATATTGTTATATTTAATGTGAGTTTTGTCTTCTTTCCCTCTGAAGTAACTTTACTTTCAAGATATATCAGTTTTTCAGTTTCTTTTCTTGCTTTAGTGTTTAAGATAATTGGATTTTCTGTTTTGTTATTATTTTTATTACATAATTTTACTGGTTAAAAAAAAAATCACATCTTAAAGGCCATTGTTGGAAGTCTTTCAATCTTTTCTTGAGCATCCATTTCTTTTCTTGAGCATCCATTTCTTTTCTTGAGCATCCATTTCTTTTCTTGAGCATCCATTTAGTGACTGTTCTTTTCTGCATAGCCTGGATTCTCTCAAACTGAGGTAAGTGATCATCTAATACCTCTGTTTCAGTCTCTTTTTACTTCTTTCATTAGCCAGTCAACGGCCAGTTTAAAAAATAACAGGATGATAGTATGCATTCCTGCCTAACTCCTGTGTTGACAAATAAATGTCCTTTGTGTTGTTATCACAGACTGCCTTGCATTGAAAATCTAAGTAAATGAAGTTAATTAACCTTGGCACAGATTTTATGAATATTATGACAAATAAATGAACATTAATTTTACTTCTTGTCTTATCTTTTTAATATATTTTAAAAGGTGATGCAGTTAACCAGTTCAGAAATATAGCTAGACAGTATGCATACTTCTACAGATTATTGCAGGTAGGTTGTTCAGCCATAACTTATTTTGTGCACAATTGTTTGTGCACCATTCTTGTAATCCTTGTGAACACATGTTAGTGTATTCAGGAAAGAAAAGCACTGAAGCTTTGCTATATGCAGTGCTATAACAACGGAACAAGAAATTAGCGCTAAAGAAGATTACAACAAGAAAAATTAACAGATCAAAAGTTATGCAAGGCGAGATAAGAGAGCATATGTTGATAGATTACCTAAAGAAGGAGAACAGGCAGCTAAGAGTGGAAATTGTAACTTGCTATATATATATGCTTTAAAACAGTTAACTTGTACTTCCAAACTGTGAGGTGGTCCAATTAAAAACAAGAATGGGCAATGTTTACATCTGCTACTGAGCATCAGAAGAAGAGATGGGCACTTCCAAGAAATCTCAATTAGACCTGGTCCACAAGAACCAATACATTTACTAATAAATATAGGGCACCATAATGACATAGAAGTCGGGGAGGCAATCAATTCATTAGCAAACAATAAGGCAGCAGGTAATTGTGATATTAGTGCAAAAATGTTCAAGGCCAAAGCTGATGACTGAATAAAAGGTTTGTTGAATAGAATATGGGCAAAAGAAACATCTCCCAGATCAGTGGAAGAAAGGAATACTTGTTAAAATTCCAAGTAAAAGTAATGTTACTGACTGTAACAACTGGACAGAAATTACTCTGTTAACAACAATGTCAGACTATTTGCAAAATAATTCTCAGTAAAATTAAAAAGCTGCTGATGCCTTGCACAATGCGGGTCATAATTTCTTTCTTTATACTTCCTTTACTGTCAAAATTACTACATAAATAAGTAAATTGACCTGTTACTTTAATTATTACTTTTGTCTCTAGTGTTACATCTTCTTGATCTGTTACTTGCGTTTTCAATCAATTTGGCCTATTAAATAGTACTGGTTGGGAATCTTGTTGCAGACGTGGCTCTGGGTTCTAGTCTCCCATAAGAGATGGTATTTTTCACTGTCTAAAAATAAAGCAAAAACATGAGTTTGAATACTATGTGATATCTACTCAGGCAAGTGATAGTTGGGCCTAACGAACATCCAAGATCTGAAACAGATGGCAACGAGCCACCAAATATGGAGAGCTGTGACTTCTGCCCTAGGCTGAAGAGGAAAGAGACCAACTATTGTAGCTAGAATATCCCTGTACTGAAACTCAACAGGGCCATAGAAGTAAAGGAAGAGAAAGTTCATAGAGAAGAGAATAAAATACTGAGATGAAAAAAAATATGTATGTTGCAAATGATAGGAGGAAGATACAAGTTAGTAGGTGAAAAAGGGTGGGGAGTGAGTGTGTGCGTGCATGTGTGCAGGCATGTGTGTGTGGTGGTTGGGTGGGGGGCAGGAGAATCATTTTGTTTAAAAAAAAATTATGGTAGGTCTAGTTGGCACATGATGACGTCAGTATTTGTCACCTACAATAATTATCTTGTACCAACTGACAGATATTTGTTTTTCATTTGCAGAAAACTCCAGCTGCAAATAATCTTCCGTTGAAAAACTACTTTACATTTGAGAATTATAGGTGAAGTACAGTAAATTTTCATGGGATTTATTTTAATATTAATATGTTGTTACTACTAAACAAACTGGCAACCTGAACCTCTTTTAACAGGGATGAAAAAAAAATGGAAAATGCAATGGTACAGATGCGTAATAAGGTCTGCCGGCTTCTGTTGACGCACTAGGGAGAAAAGGCAAGCTGAGAAAGACATGGATGTGGAATTAGGCTGACTGGACATTCCTAAGAAATGCAAAGAATAAGAATAAGTCGGACAGAGGTGGAGGGAACTGACTAGACAGTCAACAACGGGTGATCTTAGGACAGTCTGTTATGAATGATAATGATCTAGTTATTAATTATTCTATGTTTAGTTCTATTTCAGGTGCCAACAGTGGTAAAATTATGTGCAATAATGGGGCTGCTCAAACGAGCATTAAAAAAAAATTACAAAAATAAAATGAATGATGAAATAGACAAACAATATTAATTAATAAATTTTGAAACTGTAAATCTAATCCAATGTTGTCAGTTGAAGAAACAGATCATGGCCTGGTTTCTCAGGTCAGGTTAGAAAAAAAAAATTATTAGCAACAATTTGGTGGGCAGTGTTTATGCCTTCCCTCTACAACTCTAGATTTTTAGTCAGTAATGTCTGATTTAATCTTGTTGATATTGTGACACATTGTGACATCATTTTGTTTCTTGTGGCTCAGTGAACAAAAAGAGTGTTTACTAAAGGGCATGAAAAGTTAATGCTCTGTCCTGGTTGCATTTATTGCTTACTTCCCTTCGTTTTCTAGTATAGCAATAACAGAAAAGATATCTTAAAAAATGTGTACATTTTTAGTGACGACAGTGGATAACAGGCTTGCCTGTCTGCTTGGTGGTCACAGGTTTGATCGTCTGGATTTGTGTAAAAACAGATCAAGACTACCACTTAAACTGCTTCATTTTCTCTTTACCTAGTTTTTTAGGGTAGAATTTCAGATAATTAAAAAAATCTGTTTTTTCCTGGTGCATTTTGTGAATGAAAAGGTCCTTTTTTAAAATAGATCTTTATGGGACCAAATGGTAAACAAAACAAAAAAGGTGTTGCATTTTATTCATTTATTTAAAAAAATAATATTTAATTTAATGTTGTGGGTTTCTTGAAAAATCACAATTTAAGTTAATGTTTTTTTCACAGAACACATACAGAATACACTCATTAAAATTGTAGTTTTAACTTATTAAATAACTTGTAATTAGCCAAATCCTATGATGTTTCTGAACCTGTAGATGGGCAGTGTCTTCAGTAATGACAAGACAGAATCAGATACCAACTAAAGATGGCTCCAGGTCTACATTTGGACTGATTCCTTTGTGGGACATGTGTAATCATACCAATGGCATTGTAAGCATAAGTGATCATTGACATTTCATAGTTTAAATAAATGTTGGACAAAGGAGACTCAAGTTTTCTTCATAGTCAAAATATATTTCTTAGAACCAAATTGCAAATAGTACCATATATATATATATATATATTTAAATTATCAGAATTTGTCATCCAACATTTATTTATAAAAATTTAGCTACTCAAAGCTCATATGGCAGCTGGTTATGCATGTCTTAATTTCAACATCAATCATGGTCATTCTTGCTAGTGCTAAAATGGATTCCTGATTCCATCAGTAATTCAGTCAAAATATTTATATTGGCTTAACAAATTTCTGTTGAAACACTTTCTAGACCAGCAGCTGCTTAATCTTTTAGGGGTTTGATAGCTTTACTAATTTCTTCTTTTGGTAGTTTTGCCTAATTAGCTCTCATTATATAGTGAAATGATTTAGCCATGTTATGAGAATGAATGCAATCATGCCAGCAGTGAGTACGTATAACATGAAAGTACGTCTCCAAGGGGACGATAAAGAAGAAGATGGATTGAGGGAGTCACTGATACCTTGAGACTCCACAACATCACAGCATATCAATAATCTGTTAACCTGCAATGAGTAGCTGCACAAAGCAGAATATAGACAAATGAAGATGCAGTGAATATATCATGAAAGCTATAGACAAATGTCAGGGTTTGTATTTGGTGCCCATAATATAAATAACTTGAGTTGGTAACACCGGTTTGATAGCAGCATTTTAAAAACCACAGAAATTGATTGATATGGTAGTTGTAGGTAGTGACATAAACAACCTTAATTTGAATGATAAGAAGATGGTAGTAATGGTAATATCTGAATAATAAAAAGATGGTAGTAATGGTAATATCTGAGAAACAGATCATGTCTAAACGTTCAGATAGAGTCAGTGTTTATAATTTGTAACAAAAATTCAAGTATCTAAGCGAATGGATAACATCAGAAATAAGTTGTCAGAGAGAGATATTAAATGTTTTAGGACAAGCAAAAGCTACATTTGTGTAAAATTAGCAGTACTGTGTAAAAAAAGTTCTTCGTTGTTGGACATTAGAACACATTTTCTTTTTATTACATAGAGCCATGACTTTATAATTATTGAAACTATATGCATATTCTGGTTTGTTTAGTTCTGGTTTGTTATCTTCCATTTGCTTCTCTCTTAGTTTCAAGTTTATATACTTCTACACATACCTCTGCTGAGATACTTTTATAAATGTTTATTCTTGCAGTACACATCTGATTACAATGCAGAAGAGGATGCATGTGAGTGCTTTTGCCTGAAAGATTTCTCTGTTGGTCAGCAGGTTGGTTTACTGTTCTCACATAAAATAATAGTTTTTAAATGCCCAAATACGGATATTTGCTAAATAAAATAATGTATTCATGAATTTTATAGTAGCTAAATGTATAAATGATATACTTGATGGCATGTTAACATTAGCAGACCATGTTGGAGAATTGCATTATAACTGTACTTAGATAAATTGTATAATTAGTAATGAATGTCAGCATACAAAGAGAAAACATCAGCAAATTACTTTTTGCTGAGGACCAAGTTTGTATAGCTCTTATATAATCATTAGATTGCAACATCATCTATCATTTATGAATGAAGAGTATAAAAACAAAAAGTATGAAAATCGGCACTGAAAAGACATAAAGAATGTCAGGAAAAAAAAGCAGAACATTAATCTAGCAGTGGATTCCAAAAGCATCTTAGTTTAAATATTGGGGAGCAAGCAACATTCACTGAAGATGGCAAATTGGATGAGGAAATTAACATCCAAATATCAAAGCGAAACAAGTACTGGGACCTTTTACCCTCATCTTGCAGCAAAAGCCAATCCCAATCACCATGAAGAAATATCTCATAGAAAGCATATTTATTCCCAGCATATGAAAGACATGGTCACTCACAACAAACCAGAAAAGAGAAGGGCTGTAGGAGGGACCAGAAGAGATCAAATTTCAGGTTCTTCTTCTTTTCCTGCTAAAAGTCCATGTCTTGTGGCATTGGTAGTCATGTTTTAACCACAGCCTTCAGTCTCATGTATTTTCTATCAATTCTGACACATAAAATCTTCTATGCCATGATGTTAAATTATCCACCATCTATTGTCTGTATCCCTCTGTCTGTTTTCCACACCAACCTTTCCACTATCACGATGTACTCCAGTTTTCTCCTTTTCTTGATGTTATCGAAGAATGTATATTGTCTCCCCATGTGGGCAGTCGGTTCTCTTCAGGAGTCGTCTTTTTTTGTTTTCAACACATTATCTATCCATGGTATTCTCATAATTCGTCTAATAAACTACATCTGCAAAACTTCTAAATAATTTCTCACTAATCATCCAACTGTCTATGATTCACGTCTGTATATCAGGATAGGATTTTTATGGTGCCTGGGAATTCTCTTTCTGGTCTCAACTGACAAAGAAAGGATATTCTTCATTTGTAAAATGCAACTTCTTCAATATATCTTCCATCTGCTATTATCGGGATACCCAAGTATTTAAATTTATCAGCTTGCATTAAGAAATGTCTCAGTAACTTTGATGCTGCATTTTTGAGGGTCCATTTTCTTTCTAATTACCATTACTTCTGTTTTTATGCTGTTTAAACTAAGACCAATGCCTTTTCCAGATTGTAGGCCTAGTTGCTGACGGCATCACCCTGAATGGGCTAATAGTATGTTCTGTGTTCGATCTGACAGACCCGTTTTTTCGGTGCATTCCCGGCCGTCCCTGAGTACTTCCCGCACAAATTTTAGGAATAAGCTCAAGAATAGAACATGTATATAGGTATACACAAATATTCAAACTAAATAAGACAACAAAGAAACAGCAAGTACAACAGAAACTACTTAAATTTTAGCTGCAAAATTTCCCATAATGTAGTCACATAATCCACAGAGAATTAGTGAACTTACATAGCTTTCTTTTTGTGAATGATTTATCCAGCATGGATGTATTATTTTTAACTTTTCTTTTTTTATATTATTAAAAAAAAAATGTGCCAGAGATGGCAACACTTTGGAAGCAATGTTTACTTTTGAACAACCCTCACCACAGATACTACCTACTTCATCATTGAAATATTCCTGTAAACTGCATGAAACAATATGCATAGGCAATTTTTTTTAGTGATGTTTGTAGTCTAGACATTTTGTTTCCTACTCAGTTGATGTAAGCTTCTGCATAGCTGCATATACTTCAAAAGTCAATAAAATTGTAAACTTTAAAGGGAATTTCAAACCTCCATGGTCAAACAGCGTTATATAGTCTGTAGACATTGCACCTGAGTCAACATCATATGCTAGTGACCTGTCCATCTGCACTATAACCTTGCATGCAGTCCACTGAATTTTTTTGTTTAGCTTACTAGATACAAATCCAGTAATGTAGACCAGTGACTCCTCTGAACCTTCCAAAACCAATAATTCACAGTTATTTAGGTTTATTTAGTAAAAAACTTTATTCACGTCCATCTGAACAGCATCACTAGTTATTTTGTTCCTATTTTCACCTTCATTGGCCCTAAGAAACTCTGAGAGGTCACGGATAGGAAAATCTCCATAAGTTGATAAGAACATATTTAGCAGTGAGTAAACTTTTAGTTTCTTTTCTGCTTCTAAAACTTGCTAAACGGATACTAGATAGTTTGCTCCTGATAACTGGTCATTTTCACCAAAGCAAACTTCTAAGTTGTCAGTCTGCAGCTTTACAAGAAGTATGAAACTGGCTTCTTTGGTTGCAAACAAATATTTTATTAAAGAAAGCAATGCAGTCACTGTATGCAGCAGGACAATGTGTGTTTTGTTGGTCATTTTTCGTTTACAGCCAGTCAGCCTGTCCCACTTTTTAAGCCATTCAGCAAACTCTTCAAGATAATGTACTTGTTCATCCTTATTTGACAATACAAGATTTGAGAATGAGTTCAATGTCTTCTTACCTTCAGATTTACTTTTCACATCAAGAGTATGCCACCATCTAAGGATGCCCTTAATAAAATCTGCTATTTCATCACTACCCACTAGACGCAGAGTAGCAACATTGTATTCACTAAAAATTGCCAAAGCAAGAGCAACGTTCTGTCTGTCCATGCTGAGGGGATAGATAGCTATGTAGGAAAGTTTAGGTGCCAGATTTGTAATATTCTTTTGCTCACTATAATGCAGTTGGCAATTTATGTTAAAATCTGTTGGCTGTATATGAGATATTTATTGGCAATTTATGTTAAAATCTGTTGGCTGTATATGAGATATTTGTTGACAGTTTAGGTTAAAATCTGTTGGCTGTGTGTGAAAGATGCAGTGGCAGTTTATGTTAAAATCTGTTAGCAGTGTATGAGTTATGCACTGATGATTTGTGTTAAAATCTGTTGACTGTGAATGTTAGAGATTTATTGGCAATTTATATTAAAATGTGTTGGCGGTTTATGCTAGGAATATATACAGTCCGAAGGAAATTTTAACGCACTCACATATCCACTTGAAAGAATCGTAATTCGAGCAACTCATTTATAGAATATTTTGGAGGCATACTTAATAATACTTAACACTTAAGAACAGTCTATTTCAGAAATGTAACTATAAAATAATGTATCTACACACGTTAAAATCACAGCCCCCCCTTCAAGTCATTCTAAAATAACAGACTTTGTTTGCTATGGCTTAGCCTACGCTGAGGGGAAGTGCGCCTAGGCTCAATCTGGAAAAAGCATTGCTAAGACCTGTGATGACCCTGCTTTGCATGGTCTCCACGAGTACATTGTGGCAAGCAGGAAGTCCGTGCTACAAGTGACGGCACGAGATACTTGTGGCCGGTGCAGTAAGCGAGGCGAAGCCCGAGCTAGCCTCGTGGTCAGTGGATCATCAGAAGTCAGACGGTTGTAGTATTTGAAGATGTCGTCTTTATGTTGCGCAAATGTTTAATGTTCGAATATGTCGCGAGTGAAATAAATGTGAATAATGTGTTGAACATGTGAAATAAATGGACGAGAATAAACTGACAGAATGTACCAAGGAGCTGAGCGGCGTTTGTGTTGTCAACCCTAGATGTTAAAGCTGGTCTACGTCAAGGTTCATTCCAAGTGTAGCATCGACTCATTCCAAGCAAGGCTCGACTCATTTCAAGATAGTTGAAAGCGTAACTCCAAGTGTACGTTTCGCTTCATTCCAAGTGGGGGCTCGTCCGGGATTTGAACCCGGGACCTCTCAATTATCATTGTTTACATGTTGGATTCCTTGGAGTTGGGTAATTACTCTGTGAAAGGTGAGACTTTGGTCTATGAAAAAATATCTCAACATGCATTTTTTTTTTCTGTGGTAGATTCCTTGGGGTTGGGTAATTACCCTGTGAAAGGTGTTATAGGGCTTTTGGGAAACTAGAAGCACTATGAAAAATATATCTCACCACTATCATATCGGCTAAGAGTCCTTGGGGTTTAACACCCTGTGAAAGGTGATGTAGAAATATTGGTTAAATCCAATTTTCTATGTAGTAAATATCTCAAAGCTGACATCATCATCATCACTATCATCATTTCACTTTAAACCCGATAGAGTAGATATAGTGACTAGACAATACTACAGATGCAATAGGTGCAAAGATGGTTTAGACTCTTCAGCTGCTCAGTACAGGGAAAAGCATGCGGTAAATATTGAAGGCAGTTTTAAAGGGCAGTAATTGAGGATAATCAGGAACCATAATCCCTAGTGGGAATACAATTAAATTGATTTACTATATCTGGTGAAATGAAAATGACACTTGATGTTCCATAAAGTGTCATTTTGTTAAAAAGGGGGGAGAGTGTGATGACCCTGCTTTGCATGGTCTCCACGAGTACATTGTGGCAAGCAGGAAGTCCGTGCTACAAGTGACGGCACGAGATACTTGTGGCCGGTGCAGTAAGCGAGGCGAAGCCCGAGCTAGCCTCGTGGTCAGTGGATCATCAGAAGTCAGACGGTTGTAGTATTTGAAGATGTCGTCTTTATGTTGCGCAAATGTTTAATGTTCGAATATGTCGCGAGTGAAATAAATGTGAATAATGTGTTGAACATGTGAAATAAATGGACGAGAATAAACTGACAGAATGTACCAAGGAGCTGAGCGGCGTTTGTGTTGTCAACCCTAGATGTTAAAGCTGGTCTACGTCAAGGTTCATTCCAAGTGTAGCATCGACTCATTCCAAGCAAGGCTCGACTCATTTCAAGATAGTTGAAAGCGTAACTCCAAGTGTACGTTTCGCTTCATTCCAAGACCCTCTTCTGGACTTTCTATTACAGTTATATTCATCAAGGAATTAGGTTATAAGAGAAAAAGTCGCCACAGGACCATTTGAAATTACACACAAAGACATCAAAGGTTTTCCCACTGAGAGATAATACCTTGCGATGCCATACCATAAAAGGCACTAAAATGGGAGAATGATGTAGAATATGAGGTAGACCAAGAAGAATATGGACAGATAACATCAGAGAAACTTTACAACAGCACGGCGGTCAGAAGATCAAGAAGCAGAACCATAAATCTTCCACGACACCCAAAAGAGGAAGTGAAGAAGAAGAAGATGCAAAGAAATGTAAAATAAGCAAGTGAAAGTTAGAGAACCATTAGAAAATAAATACCTGAAAAAACTTATGAATATTAAATGGAACAAATTTGAGAAAGGCAAAGAAATAAGAAGACAAAAATTGCTGGACAACTGCTGCTGTCAAGAATTACAAGAAAAAGAAGATGCTGATAAATTGGGCACATTCTGAAATAAGGCAGACAAGAAATAGCAAAACAGACACTGAAATGACACAAAAATCTGTTGAAGAAATAGACATTGAAGAGAAACCCATGATGAATGTTGTTTTGAGAGGCCAGAGTTGCTGGACTGAATTTCTTTCAAGATATTGAAAAGATTGCACAGACTAGAATAGAATGGAAGAAACAACTGTGAGCTGTGTGTCATTTCAGTCTGCTTCCAACAATACTGAAAAATAGAGCATGAAGAACACTCTGCGGCCCCCCCCCCCCCCCCCACCCCTTACACACTCACACACGCACACACACAATACTGAAATGGGGAAAAGATCAGTGCACCCGACCCACTAAAACTGCGGTTGTTTAGCACCAAATTAAACAATGTAGGAAAATGGATGGTAGGTCCTCTACATGATCACGTTGATTAGATATCTAACTTTCTTGGGTAAAGGACACCCTCCTTTTCCAAAATGAATCTATGTGTTATTTCTGTCTCTTGATCGTAGGAAGTAGAGAAAAGAGTGGGTCAAATAATTGATTACCCTATTCCTGTCTAGAGAAATCTCTGGTATCACTTAGAAGAAACTGGGTCAATCCCACAGAAGCATTCAGTTTGTAAAACAATTCCTTTTCATCTGAGGATTGAAAAATATTAAGAGAATATGTTCCCATAGGAATGTTTTCCAGTGCCTTATAATGTATAACACACAATCTCTGAATAAAATATTTTAATGTAAAATTGTTTTTAATTGCAACTCAGAGTGCAGTTGGTTGTTTAATATGTGTGAATATTTGAAAAATTCTTGAAATATTTACAGATTTTAATCTTTTATGGACCCCGCTCTAATGGAGAATTTTTAGTTCACAATGGGTTTGTCTATCCAGAAAATGAACATGACAGACTTTGTTTGAAACTGGGTAAGTCTGCTATTTTTGTTTGAATTTGCATTTTTATGTATATTAAAAAGTTAATAATTTTGTTCACATATTTGTGCACGTTTTTTGGCTTATTACAGATACAGAAAGGGGATGATAAACTTCCTCAGGGTAGTATAGAAAATAAAATGTAAATAATTTGCACTATAAGAACACCCCATGCATAAGGAACTATTGAAGCCACAGACTTAAAAAAAAGGACCCAAAAAACCTAGTTCTTAAAGAGGTCTAACTTCATACAGATAGCCAAAGGATTAAAAAAATAAAAACAACATATGAGCTTCCATTTCCGGACCTAAAATTAAGTTTCCTACTTATCATGAATGCTCACCATGTAACTCTAAATACTTTCCACAAATCAGAGACATTATAAATGATATCCTGACCAAAGGAGAACAGACTTCCCTAGAAATGTAGGAAAATCACAATTTAGATGATACAATAAAATGATCCTCAAAACACATGGAAAAAAAGTATTTAAAGAAAGCTCACCAAAGGAAGCTGACAGGGTGAAGGTTGAGAAATCCATATCCAGTGAACCAATGGTATCATTCAGTAGTGAGGAAAACTCTCTTTCACTTGCAAAATGGAAGCAGTGGTGGTGGAGGAAGCAGTATCCAAATTAATGAATGCAGTCAGAAATGGTTATACTGAGATTTATTTGCTCAATATTGCAAGCAATACAAAACCTTAAGCAACTTGAGTTCAACTAGCATGGATCTATGCGAAGTCAATGATGGCATATTCAGTTATACAGACAAACATTGTCCATCCATCCACAAACTAACCCATTACGACCACACACACACATTTGCGCATAGCACTATTTGTCCGGCCATTTATCCATAACTACATTTATTAGACTATTTATCTCTACATACATTTACTAGGTCATTAGTCCATACATACATAATCTACTAGTCTGTTTATCCATTCATTTACTAAGCCATTTATCCATACATACATACATTTACTAGTTCATTTAACCAAACGTACATTTACTAGGCCATTTATCCATACAGACATATATTTACTAGCCCATTTATCCATACATACATATATACATCCAACCATTTATCTGTACGTACATACATTTATCCAGCCATTTATCCACACATTTATACATTTATCCAGCCATTTATCCATACATTCTTCAGCCATTTATCCATAATACATAAATTTATCCTGCCATTTGTCCATACATAAATACATTTACATGCCATTTATCCATACATTCATGCATTTATCCAGCCATTTACACACATACACCCACCCACCCAGCCAGCCAGCCAGCCAGCCATTTATCCATTCATCCATCCATTCAGTCATTTATCCATCCATCCATCCAGTCATTTATCCAACCATCCATCCATCAAAAAATGCACACACAGAAACACATACTCCTCACAGAGCTGCTGTGTGCTAAAGTTGCTTTTTAGGCAGACAGCACTCGATTAAGTGTCCTGGATATGATTCACACTCCAACTGTTATACCCAACTTGCGCACAAAACTGTCTTAAAAACTCAACGACATGTTGCTGCCTTATATGCATATTTATTGTCACAATTTCAAGCGGGTATAGACAAACCTGTGCATATAATAATGCAAGCGAAGAAACCCTACATGTCAATGGCTGGATTATGAAATAAATGCCCTTTTCCTTGCTCGCTCACACTGACACAGCAGAGCTATCTCGGACAGCCTACACCAACTGCTAAGACTAGCTGAGTTGGCGGCTACAGTGCCTAGGTCTCCAGCTCACCTCACTGCAGGGCTGGCTGTACAGATGAACAGGTTACATCTCCAACTCAACTTGACCTCCTTTGCCCTTTATGTAGCAGACACTGTCACATCAGCTGACTGGAAAACCTGCGATTCTTGTTCTCCCATATCTGCACACAGCACATCAGCCTTGTCCAAGGAACCCTGATGACCAGCAGGACTCCAAGCCTGAGTCCTCTTCAGCCACTCTGCACGAAGCATGCCTGTTTTTACCTTACTGAACATGCTCTGTGAGTCAGTTACAATCAGGGCATGTGTGTATAGCTTATTCTCAAGCCAGCAGAAGGCAGCAGAGACTGCCTCCACTTCCATTTTCAAACTAGACATTGTCATATCATATGCAAGTTTTTGCTGCACTATGCAGTGTCCATTTGCCTTTGCTATGAAACCCTTTTGCACTTTGTCTGCCCCTCAGCACAGAGCCATCTGTATAGATAATCACATCACTTGGGCGAGAATTGTCATGAATCATTTGTTGAACTTCTGATTCTGCAGCACCAGCTGGCCAGTCTCTGCACTCACAACCTAAGGTTGTTCTAAATCCTACACAAATCTGAAATTATTCAGACACCTTGACCCACTCCTCTCCTTGCTCAAAATTGTTAAGCCTGCACACATGTCCTATTGTGTCTTCAGCTTGCGCCATCCAAGACCTTTCTCTTTTCATTCTGTGACCCTAAGCTTTACCTAGGGCTTCATGTAAGAGGTGCTTCTTGTCTCCATCTTCTCTGAGATTTGACTGTGCTTGCAGAACTCTGATTCTATCTGCAATAGTAGGCAGTACAAGTATATATCGCATACATACTACCATGATATCTCTTGTACATCCCAGAATGACCCATTTGGCTTCATTCTATATGAGTTCGTTTTTTATCAGCTGACTCTGTGTTATGGTAAGCATACCACGTGAAGAGAACAGCTGGTGTGCTCCACTGCGCAAGAGATCGGACATCTGCAGCCTTAGATCTCTCTGGTCCATGTGTGTTCCAATTTGGCCATATTCTCTCATAGTTCAACAATGTTGCCAAGGGCGCTAAGGACTGTGACGTATCGCGGGTTGCAAAAACATCGAACAATTAAAAATTACACCTATCTAACAGAAATATTAACTTCCCTGCGGATCACCGGTGGAACTATTGCTGTTATGTGCTGGGGGGGGGGGGGGGGTTATGTATGTGAGATTGTATGTATGTATATGTGTGTGTGTGTGTGTGTGCGTGCGTGCGTGCGTGCATGCGTGCGTGCATGCGTGTGTGTGCATGCGTGCGTGCATGCGTGTGTGTGCATGTGTGCGTGCGTGTGTGTGTGTGCATGCGTGCGTGTATGCGTGTGTGTGCATGTGGGCGTGCGTGAGTGCACGCGCACATACATGTGTATGTATGTGTATGTATATACATGTGTATGAACATACATAATACATAGCATGCATGCATGCATGCTATGTATTATGTATGTCTGTATATGAATGTGTATGTATGAGCATGTAAGAGTATGTGTACATGTGCTTTAGTGTGTATGATTGTGTATACTTGATGTGTTTATACATTATTCTTTAATGTATATTTTTCTTTTTAAACATAACAAGTATATTTGGTAACAGACAATGATGCTCTGAAAGATGAGTGTTTAGAAGGGCCAATGTCAAGATGGGCCTCCATGCCCAATTTGTAACCCTTTGAAAATAAAGTTTGTTTGTTCATTTATTCGTTCTTCCTTTCATCATGAACTTCTAGACTGTTCTCAAGCATTCTTGTTTTCTTTAGTTAGCATGCTTTTGCAGAAAGTTCACGTTTGCCTTTATTTGACACTCGGTTTGTTCAAAGATACTTTGTTCTCATTACCACCCACTCTGAGTAATTTATGACAATGAGATGCTCTGTTAACAAAGGAGAAAATGAGCCCTTACCTATCCATCCATACATATATATGCACGACCGTCTGTCCATCCATCTCTCCCTTGGTCCTTCCCTCCATCCATCCATCAATCCATCCATCCATTGATGCATTCAGCCTTCCATCCTGCCAACCATCCATCCAGCACATTTTCATACATACATACATTTTCCCAGCCATTTATCCATACATACCCACAAACATAAATGTATATAGTTATACATATCTGCATGCATACCCACTCAGATTAAATACACATGCATAAATACACTAACTTATACACATACAGAAGCACATGCACACACATTACACTTATATACACACGTGCATACTTTTATGCAAAGGCACACAAGCATTCTGATATATATACACACAAGCGTACTAACACCCACTTACACATGCATGCAAAGCCTCACTTAACACAGGAATACATACATACACACACTAACATTGAAATGTACAGATTCAGAGACAAATGTAAATATCCATGTATACATACATATACAAAGACAGTGTACTTCAATTGCTGCTACTTTGGCTCTCCTACTAGATGATCAAAATATGATTTTTGTTTTTTGATTTATTTAACATCTAAAAAAAAAATTTAGTTTGTGTCCATGTTACCTGCCATCTACAATCGTCTAGTTGTCATTTTGCACCTGTAAGTACTGAATATTTTGTGTGTACATTTGCCTGCTTTTCAGGAATAAGTAAAGATGATCCTCTATATGGACTAAAATCAGAAGTGCTAGAAAAGTTGCATATTGCAACGTAAGTATAAAAACATATTTTTTCCCACACATTTTTCATTTTTTTAAAAACTCACAGGTAAGACTAAGACAGTCATATTTCCAGGCTGAAATATGACAGAGGTGTTGTGTTCTTTCCACATGGCAGTTTATTTTATAAATAGGCAGTCTTTACGATGAAGAGTTTTATTTTTCCCATTTATTGTAAGCTATTTGACCTCTTCCTCCTTTCAGTCTTTCTCATAGTTTTTCCTTCATTCCATTTTGTTTTAGTTATCCTTTGGAGTATTTACTGTATCTATGTAGATTTAGTGTTTTAGCTCCACATACAACTGTCTGCGACTTAATGTCCAACAGTTGATTTTTCTCCTAGGTCATTTTTGACTATTTTGATCCTATTTAGACACCCTAAGTTTTTATTATGGCAAAACATGACGGCTTAAGCTTATCGACATGGCACATTATGATGATGCCAATTGGAACAATAAAAACAAAAATAGGAAGCTTTGTGAGAGAAACAAGTTCCATTGGACCAATAGGTGAAGAAAAGATGCTGGCATTGGCTAGGACATATGCTGAGAAAACCGGAGAACAATATAACTAAAATGTCTTTACACTGGAACTCACAGGGGTATAGAAATAAAGATTAAGGAAAAAAAGGCAGACAAACAATGCATGGTAATGGGAACTATAGAGGGAAGTTAAAAAAGATGAGGTGAGCTATATGCAATAGCAAAGGATAGAACAACTTGGCTTGAGTTGGTTGAGAGCCTATGCTTCATTGGGGTATAAAAGACAGAAGAAAAAGAAGAAGAAGATGACATGATTTTAACAGAGACCCTGAATACCCAGATGATTTACTTACATGTAGTACCATGCTGCACACACAAGATTTCACAGTATTGACAATTGACCCTTGTTTATTCATTACCGGAGAAAGTAGATTGAGGAGAGGTCTGTTACAAGTTTCTATCCATTTGACAGTTATGAGAAATAGATCATACCACCTGATATCAAAAGTTTTTTTTTAATTATTAGTAATCATCCATTCTTTTTCTCAGATCCAGATCTTTTTACCTTCACAAAGGAAGATTTCCTGTAGATGGAGATTTGCTTGCATTTTTGAGAGTCTTTAGCATGGATGAAGGTAGTGTGTATTTATTTTTATTTAGCAGTCAAGTTGAACATAAATCGTGATTAGACTAGAAAGGAAGTAGGAATTACAAGAAGTGCAGCTAAGTTTCAGACATGGCAGAGGTCAGTAAGTAACACATACAGAGTCCTTTTGATGTATTTTGGGATATTATGCAAGCCCAAACTTCAGAAGACAGCACTTGGTGGGTGAAATGGTTGAGAACAGAGGAGTAGACTTTTCCTAAATTGACAAAATCATCAAAACGTTATGTTGTCCACTGTGTCAAAATACACAACAAAACAAATAAATTATAATCAAAGTTAGAAGATCTGGAGGACATGGTTTTCTCTCAAACAGTTAAATATGTTCGGGAAGTCCATGCACAGCAGTCAGGCATCACTCTGCATGACAATGATGTGCTGGATATTGCTGTCAGCTTTGATGGCAGCTGACAAGAAATCACACATCCTACATTGGTAAGATCACTGGTAAGAGAGTTTCCAGATCCAAACCAGCTGAATTTGAAGCAGGGAAGGCAGACCATCTTCTAAACTGTGATAAAAATATCACAGGATCTGCTGGAATGATGGAGGTGAAGGCTGCACAAGAGCTATGGCAGCGGTCTGTGGCCTGTCATAAGCTCCACTATACATCAGTACTTTCTGATGGTGATGCCAACAAATTTGTGAAGCTTACCAAAATCAGACTTTACGTGGAGGGCATTCACATAGACAAAAAGAAGTGTATCAACCATGTCAGTGAACGCCTTGGAACAGCACTCCGTAATGTTGTTTGCTGACTGCCGAAAGCAAGGCATGACCCTAGGTGGACAACTTAAAGGTCAGCTTACACAAAATGCCATCCGTAAGCTGACAGTTTATTACATTAGAGCAGGAAGGAACAACACAAGTGTAAAGTCCATGAGGAACACTGTTATGGCTTCAAGCATCACTGTTTTTCAACAGACAAAACTCCACGCCTTGAAATTTGCCCGTGGAGAGCAATCTTAGTGTTTTTTTCAGTCCGCCCTGGCTAGGTATCAGTCCCCGGGTCCTCATGACATGATGTTACTCACATGGCTCAGCTGTGACAAGCTACAGAAGTATCTTTTGCCAATAGGTTGTCTAAGCCTAAACTACTTAGTAAATGTCTCAGGAAAAGCTCAGAATTCAGATGAGTGTTTACACAGCCTGATCTAGGCTCACTGTACTAAGTTCAGTTTGCAGTAGTAACTGCAGCAAGAGAGTTCAACTTTGGTGCTGTTGTTTCTCAAGACAGTGCCCAGTTTTTTTTTCTGCAGACCTGTATTTGTAGAGACTAGGAGCATCTAGGATGCAGAAGAGAGTTAGAAATAGCATGAAGTATAAAAAGGACAAAGAGACGTGACAGTGTACGGGCTGCCGAACTTCAGAGGCAAGATGAACTATATGTCCTAGCGGAGGTCCTGCAGGATTGTTCTAATGATAAAATAATATAAGAAACTGTTTTTATGTGTAAAATAACTTGTTAAAATATTAAAATAATTTTGTTAGTGTAATAACACATGAAACAATTTCTTTCCCCCCATTGTCTTATTTTGGCAGTTTTTCACCTTGTGATATATTTTTCTCAAAAACTGCTTGTCTGATTCTAATTAAACTTTGTACACTCATTTAACATTGTATTACTTAAAGGTATCATAAAAACGTCGGCTCTGTGGCTAAGTCGTTGCGAACGTTTCGCTTCGTAATGCCGGGATGCCAGGTTCGATCCCAATGCGCCTTGCGTTGGTTTCGACAGTGGTATCAAGAAAGCCAACCGTCCAGAAAGCAGTGGCAAACTACTAGATGTAAATTGCCTATAGAAACCACACAACAGCCAGGGGCTGTTAGGGTTGGTTCTGCAATGTCCTGTAAAGGATACGCAACTAACTTATCATAAAAACATTCTGTATTGTGTAAAGGGGTTATGAATGTATAAATATAGAAAAAGTTGAGCCTGTATGTTAACATATTGTGGTTTTAGACCTATCGCAAGAAATCCAATATGGCCATTGTCACTATTGTTTGCAAATATTATAGATACCATGGGTTTGTTTTAAAGGTTATTTGTGCACTCAGAGAACATTGAGGTTTTCTCTTGCAGATACATTGAAGGAGAAATACACTGGCCACTGTGTAGCTGCACCTGAGCAATTTGAGATCTTGAAAAGTGAAGACCAAATTGTAAATGAAGAAAATGAGCGTAGAGTTTGGTCATTTCTGCAAACAAGAGCTCAGCTGCTTATCAGGGCATATCCTTGTTCATTGGAGGTATGAATAGAGCCTTAGATTTCTACAGGAAAAATTTTAATGTTTAGTACACAATTATTTTTAAGTTAAGAGGTGAAGTTGTTTTTTCATAATAGTAACTGTGAGCACTTATTTATTGAGACAGGAGGGATCTTGAAATGAAAACTTATAATTCGCTGAATTCTTGTAAATTCACAACATAGAACATTGGTCTTGGTGTGACATCTTCATCAGTTTGGGGGTTACTGAAGGACAACTTGAGCACCAATGGAAAACAGGCTTTTAACAACAGAAAATAAGATAGCAAGGATGTTATTATTCTCCTAATTTCACAGTCTAGGTGAAAATTATGCACATAGTTTTTCTTCTTCTTCTTCTTCTTCTTCTTCTTCTTCTTCTTCTTCTTCTTCTTCTTCTTCTTCTTCTTCTTCTTCTTCTTCTTCTTCTTCTTCTTCTTCTTCTTCTTCTTCTTCTTCTTCTTCTTCTCATCTTCTCTTCTACCTTGTACCTTATTCAAGTGTTAGAGGGGATGTAACTTTCATTGATGAGCTCTGTCAAGAGCACTATTGAGATTGATATTCATTTCTGTAAAGCTGTACTTTATACCATTACTCTATCTATTACCAGATCTTTCCCTTGCTCTATACCCCTTGTATGGTTTCAGTGTGGCTCACTGTGGCAGATAGTACCAGAGATTTCTTAGATGTCCAGACCACTTCATTTGTTGTTCTTTGCTGACCTGTAAGACTGGCTTAATTCCTAGCATTCTTCAGATTTAGTGATTTCGTATTCTGTCTTTCCTTGAAACCCCTGCAGCTCTTCTAAGGCATTTGATCTCTGTTTTCACAATTTTACGTTCATTAGAGGATATAAGTGTCCACATTTGGCACTGATAGCATAGTGTTGGCCAAAAAATAGCTTTTATAAAATTCACTTCAGTACTCCAGGGTATCTGCTTATTTGTCAACAGGGAAGATAGCTGTCACGGTTCTTGATTAGCTTTGGTACATTGTGAGCTAATTTCTTTGTCCATTTTTCCATCAGATGTGAAAACTTAATTCTTCTGTTTTCTTAAGGGGTTTTTAAATTTTTTTTCTAAATTGTCTTTTTATCTTCCTGTCACCATTACCTCTGTCTTTGGTGTGTTTATTTTAATATTAAATTCCTCCCCTTTGTTATTAATTTGATCTAGGTGGTTCTGTAGGCATTCCATACTTTTTACTATGAGTATCTGGTGGTCAGCGAATAGTAATTTTGTAATATCTTCTTCATGATTAAAGTTTGTTTCCTCGCATATAGTGTCCATGTATGTGATAAAAAGAAGTGGCAATAGTACACAGCCCTGATACACATCAGAGTTCATTATAAAAGTTCTTGACAATCTGGCCTTCGCCCTTATGCATCATTTACTATGTGTATATAGGCTTTTGCAAATTTTAATGAGATGATTGCTGATTCCCCTTTTCCTCATACATGCCCACAACATATTACTGTAGACTCTATCAAAGTCTTTTTTTTTTCCTGGTCTATGAATGTCAACAAACAGGCCTCATCATGTTCTATTGCTCTCTGTGATAGCTGTCTCAAGGTGTAGATGGCATCTGTGCATAGTATCTGATTAATGATAACTGTTGAATATATGTAACAGTAGACATACTGAAGGGAAGAAAAGAATTGGAACCTATCACATGTGAACACTGTCACATCAGTGGGACATAATGAGAGTTTCATACATCTTGTACTGATTTAAGCCTGTTTTAGATAATTTCATGAGGTTCTCATGGTGGATAACTACTTTATTCCTTGCATTGACACTTCTGCATTATCATTCATTATTTCTGTCCGGGGTAGTACCCTAACACACAGTGTTGGAGGTGACTGCCCAGGGTAGTACCCTAACACACAGTGTTAAAGATGACTGTCGAGGGTAGTACCCTAACACACAGTGCTAAAGGTGACTGTCCAGGGTAGTACCCTAACACACAGTGCTAAAGATGACTGTCCAGGGTAGTACCCTAACACACAATGTTAGAGGTGACTGTCCAGGGTAGTACTCTAACACACAGTGCTAAAGATGGCTGTCCAGGGTAGTACCCTAACACACAATGTTAGAGGTGACTGTCCAGGGTAGTACTCTAACACACAGTGCTAAAGATGACTGTCCAGGGTAGTACCCTAACACACAATGTTAGAGGTGACTGTCCAGGGTAGTACTCTAACACACAGTGCTAAAGATGACTGTCCAGGGTAGTACCCTAACACACAATGTTAGAGGTGGCTGTCCAGGGTAGTACTCTAACACACAGTGCTAAAGATGACTGTCCAGGGTAGTACCCTAACACACAATGTTAGAGGTGGCTGTCCAGGGTAGTACTCTAACACACAGTGCTAAAGATGACTGTCCAGGGTAGTACCCTAACACACAGTGTTAGAGGTGGCTGTCCAGGGTAGTACTCTAACACACAGTGCTAAAGATGACTGTCTAGGGTAGTACCCTAACACACAATGTTAGAGGTGACTGTCCAGGGTAGTACTCTAACACACAGTGCTAAAGATGACTGTCTAGGGTAGTACCCTAACACACAATGTTAGAGGTGACTGTCCAGGGTAGTACTCTAACACACAATGTTAGAGGTGGCTGTCCAGGGTAGTACTCTAACACACAGTGCTAAAGATGACTGTCTAGGGTAGTACCCTAACACACAGTGTTACAGGTGACTTTCCTTAATGGAAATTTAACCCCAGCTCACCATGTCTGATTCACTGGGACTGCATGCATCAAATATAAGCAAGAAATTGAATGTGACAACCATGTTTTTGTCACCTCAGGTAGCCGAAGCCTCTTCTTTAGATTAAACATAGAGGACTACTATTCACTCGTGTGTGATCTTGCCTGGCAATGCCTGCCAACATTAAGTCTGCAAAAACTTTGAGATGTTATAAAATCTTCCCTTTAGCCCTGATCTTGCCACATTAATTTTTACTCATTAAGAATCCTGAAAGCAGCTCTCTGAGGACAAAGATTACCCTATGATGAAGTTCTTTTTCTTCTTTTGTTTGCTTGAAATAAATTATCTGTATCTAAAATGTTGTCTCTAGTATGAACTTCACTGTCTTTTGTAGTTCACTCTGCGGCCCGCAAAGTTTGACTTGCACCGATGTTTCTCATCACCTTGATACAATGTCCGACAATTAAGTAATAAGACTAATTTCATAAAAATCAAAATAATCAGCAGTTGAATAACCTATATCTGATTCAAAATAAGCCTCTTGTGCATTGATACAGCAAGTGGCATGATCTAGCAAACACTGAACGAATCTCTGTAGTTCTGTTGTTATGGCCCTTAAAGTCGATGTTAACGGTCCTTTGGATGTCATCAGTATTGTTAAAGAATGTCCTTTCAATCGTAACTTTAATTTTGGGAATAGAAAATAATCACAGGGAAACAAATCTGGGAAATAGGGTGGAAAGCTGAGAACACACATTTTTTTTAAGGCTAAAAATTCTTGTTTTGGGTACTCAACCCTATGATGTTTTCGGTATTCAGACAATAAATCTGGTAAAAACTGGCAAGCAACTTTTTTCTTGTCAAAATCTTGCACTAAAATGTTATGAATGGTCTCTCTATTAACACCAGACTCATCTGCCGTCATCCTCACAGTAAAATAATGATCTTTTTGTATCCGTTCTCTGAGTTCATTATTACAAATAGAAATTTGGCGTCCAGGTCTAAGTGCATTAGTAATCATTTCCACACCATTTTTTAATCGAGAATACCACCTGACAATTTGTATAAGGGAATAAATTATATTCCCATAAACTTGTTGCATCGATTCAGCTGTTTCAGTGGCACTTTTTCTGAGTTTTAAAAAGAATTTAATGTTAGCTTTTTGCTTCGTGTTGATTACGTAACAATGCACCTGTGACTAGTTCAACAAAATGGCAGCTCGTTTGTTGTCTGCTTATCGAGCAGCTGTGAAAAGTTGCCTGATCATAGATGAATGTTGCCTCTTCAGATTCCTCTTCAGATTCCATGCTTTGCTTCATAGATGATATTTTTGTCTCATTACTTAATTATCGGACCTTGGGGAAAGTCTCGGAAGACATGGTCTCTTGTCTCAGGTGCAATCCACATAGGCACACAGCTGATTCGCCGATTGTAAATTTTGTGTTTATGTGGCTGCGAAGTTGATTGTGTCCTGTTCTAAGGCGTAGAATAATAACTTGCTCTGGTTTGTCCATAAAATGGTAATTGTCTTGGTGACTTTTGATTGATTTGATTATTCTCTTCTTTTGCTTGATTTTATTAATCTCCACTTTTGTTGATAAGAGACATGTACATCAGGTTGTTGATGAAGAAGTGAAGACGGCGGTTTATTTGTAGCTTGCAGCTCAGCCTAAAATATTTTTAATAAAGATAATACAAAAGTTGGCAGTCGGACTAAGTGTTTAGAAAAATGGAAAGATTAAATCATAAAACATTATATATAACATTTGATTAAAATAGAACATTTAAAATCAAATTTTAGAATAATTTGAAAATAGCCGTGGTGTAGCTGCTAGATGCTCGCCTGCTGATTCGAAGGTCGTGGGTTCGGGTCCTGGCAGAGCCGGACTTTTTTCAAGAATGACATTGGCTCCCAGGTTGACCCAGCCTTGAGTGAATACCAGGTGCTATCCTAGGAAGTAAAGGTGGCCTGCATGATGCTGACCAAATCTAACAAGTGCAGATTGGTCTATAAAATATTTGGTTAGCCCTATAAGCCCAATACGCCTAAAGGCATGGAAAAAGGTCCTTTCCTTTTTTTTTTTTACTTTTACTTTGAGAATAATTTATTAGAATAATTTTTGATAGTCTTTTTGTTTTTCTTAACACTTTGTCCAACTGTAAAGGGCTTTTTTTTTTTTTAACTTACCTTATTGGATAACCTTCTTGGATATCACCATTTAAAATTGGATAGATAGCCATTTCCATTTGAAACATGAACAATTTTGAAACCACTTAGATCTTTTCAAGAATTCTAAATCATATATCCTATAGCAGGGCTATTCAACTAAGTTTACCCAGGGACAAAATTTGTTAAACTGAGGATCGTAAGGGGCCAGAGCCATGAACCCAAGCATAGACAGATCATTAATATAATACAGTTGAATAGTTCTGTCCTATAGTAATTGTCACATTAAAAGGAGACCAGCTGTCATCAGTCATCATTATATGCCTAGTCAGATGGCACAGGCGTTCATATAACTTCACAGATCTTAGTCCTCGGTGTTGAGAATCAGTTCTTTCAATGATATTCCTCCATGCTCTGTGCTGGCTACCGAAGATGAGGACGAAGCGGACATGGGAATGCCCCGATTGCCATGGTGTCAATTTTGGACTAAGCTCGGCTCAACTTCTCCATGCCATTTTGAAGACCATTCAGCATTGCCCTTGGTCTACTTCTGCAGCTGATCTTTCCCGTCATCATGATTTTTCCAGTGTCTCTCTTATCACAAGACAGAAGACTGCCATGTCTTTCTTTAGTTCTACTTGTGTTAACCATAACCAGGCAGCCATTAGTTACTCTGGGTGTTCAAAGTATTTGAACATTTGTCTGAGCAATCACCAGCCTGCTGCCTTCAGCTCTTCCTAATTTCCTCTTTGATTTACTGCCATACAGCAAAACAAGTTAGATATTACATTTCATTACTCTCTTTCTATGAGTTGCTCTAGCACAGTCTAGAGGCTTCCTTGCTGACTCCAAGGTTTTGAGTTCAGAAATGAACTAGTGAATTAAAAAAAAAATTTGACCTAAGCTTCCAGGTCAGCAAAATTTATTATATTATTTTTAGTGAAAGGATCAAGGAACATTGCTTGAAGCAAATTAATCATGACATTAATTGAGAAACAAAGGCAGCCTGTACAAGGACCATAACCCTTACTGCAAAACAAAATGAGGTTTATTCAGTGGACAGGAAAAGTTTGGCATTATGTTTATGTCACAATTTGTACAGCAAAGATACAGAGTAAAATGTTAAAGCATATGTATTCTCTACTTTAAACAAGTCCGTTGTATTTGAAATATGCGTCTGCTTCTTCTATTTCCAGGAGGATGAATCTGTCTTACAAGAAGCAGATTTAAGTAGTGTTTCAAAGATGATAGTGCAACTTCGAATTGGAGAAAGACAGATTTTGCAAAATGTAACAGATTATGCAGAACGAAAGAAAAGTGAACTTACTTTTTGATTTTTTTTTATCAGTACAGTATCTTGAAGTCTAGATCCCCCCCTCCCCTTAAATGCTGATAATTGTTACTTCTCTTTTTGCCCTTATTCCCCATTGAGCATAGCCCTCAGCCCACTCACACAACACTGTTCTACTCTTTGTCATTTTATTGTGCTCATTTCATATTTTCTCCATAGTTCTTATCTTTGTCTCCAGCTCTCTTTTCTATTTGTGTTCAGGTATCCCATAAATATTGTTTTAATGTGAGTTCCTATACAATGACATTCTTGTTTTGCTCTTATCATCAGTGTGTCTTATCCTTCTATCTTATCCGGTCTTCACCTTTTGATTCACTGGAATTTGTTTAGTTCTCTCAAATTCATAACTCTGCACTAATGATTCTGTCATATTGTGTTTATGCATGTTTGTAGTTTTTAGTTATATATTTTTCTACTCCATATAGCTAGATTGAAACAGTAGAGGTTTAGTGCTACATTTAATTTTGTTTTGTTTAATTTTTTTGCTTCTAGAGATTTTAAAGTTTAGGACAACTCTTTTCTCTTCTTTTCTTAAATGTATTTCTCTGTCTGTCTATATGGTTCAGTGTCCAGTAGCGGGGTTGAACCAAGAGAGATTGAGTTCATGTTTGCTTTTTTTTTTTTTATTCACATGATCTTAGAATGGCTGGCATTGTTTAAGCTGATATTTTTTGGGGGAAAAAAAACTCTCTCTGGGATGGTGGGCTAAAGCAACAGATGTGTACCTTGTGAGATTGATTCAGCAGGGAGTGAGCAGGAGATTTAGTTCTGTCAAACTGCCTTAGCACCCACTTTACAGAGACTGGAACTGGAGCATATAATTGACATTTTGAAGCTTGACTGATGTCAAGAAATGCTTATTTAGTTCACATCACTTGCTGTTTTGTATTTTAGTTCTCTTTATTATTGTTACTTTTAGGGTAACTACTCCAGGCAAACTCATTCTGTAACATATCTTAAAATGTCCAACTCTATTTGAACACTTACTTGAGTGCAGGCATGCATTATCCTATAGATACATTCATTCTCAGAAGATTTCTGTAAGTGTAATTCATTCACAACTAAAACACAGAAGACTGCTTCTCCTTGATTGATGTTGCTAGTGGAATGGCCATTTGTTTGTGTGTGTGCCTGCACATACACGCTTTTACTTTAAGTTAGAGAAAATTGGTCTGATTGCTGTTGAACTGATGCCAAAAGCTAATAAGTATAAAATTTGTCTCCAAAACTTGGCAAAAACAAGTACAAACCAGATGATTAAACCATTTTTTGTCTCTGAAACTTTTTTGTTTCCAGCAGTGTTCTTATTTTGCATTGTTTGTACATTGACTCTGGTCAAGAGTTCATTTAAGTACTTGTTGGGGCTGTTCATCTGTCAAGTTTGCGATTTGTCTGCACTGTAATGCTACCTACATAATGCTCTGGACATCCTTAGACTGCCCATTTGCATGATGTTTCAGATGTGTAACAAACAATTTAAGGTTTTATTTGGCCGATTAATTCCCCCCCCCCCCCCCCCCCCTTTTCGTCCCAACTTTTCAACCATCTTCCTACCCCCCTCCCCAGTTTGAATATTTTTATTTAATTTTCTGTTGCAGTCATGGCTTTAGCATAACCTGCTTTTGAAACTGACATCAGACTGGTCTTTATTTCTTCTGGGAAGTCAATGTGGTAAACAGCAGAACCTGTCAGCCTTATTTCACAATACAATGTCAAATTCTGTTAAATCACATAATGTAGCTCTGTCAGCCAATCTAATTGTTTTCCCTTAATTTTCATGCTTTTGATTTTATTTTAGTACTCCATAACTTCTAATTAAACATGTATGCAAATAAATATGACTATGGCATGCATAGAATTAACTTTCTTTAAAAATAATGTGAAAATGTGTACAGTAATTGTTCATGCACCTACATTAACACTTTGCTGACCAGCTTCGACGATCTGTGAATTTTCGGTCATATCCCTTGGTGACCAGCTTTTCTGATCGACGAATTCATGAGATGTAGAATGCAGACAGACGACCTTACTGATAGTTTTTTAATTGAGCTTCATCTGTGTATTTTTATTATTCTGATATGGCTGCGCCTACAATCCATATTGCTTGAGCCAATATAAGTATTGTTTGCAGTAAAATTTTGATTATTTTTGTGCACCTACATTAACACCTTGCTGACCAGCTTCGACGATCTGTGAATTTTCGGTCATATCCCTTGGTGACCAGCTTTGCTGATCGACAAATTCATGAGATGTAGAATGCAGACAGACGACCTTACTGATAGTTTTTTAATTGAGCTTTATCTGTGTATTTTTATTATTCTGAGATGGCTGCGCCTACAATCCATATTGCTTGAGCCAATATAAGTATTGTTTGCAGTAAAATTTTGATTATTTTCATTACCTGCGCATTTCAGCCTTTTCGTCATGTCTGATGATGAAAACTGGATCAGTAGTATTGATGATTTGGAATCTGCCAGCAGATGCAGCGCTGAAAACAATAGTTCCTGGATAAGTAGAGATTCACCTGTGAATGTTGTCATCATATCGCAACTGAAAGTAGCAACAACGATGATAGACTTGATGACGGAAGTGGTGTAGGTACATCTGAAGAAAGAAGTGGGCGTGGCACAAGAGATCAGAACATTTCTACAGCTAGAAATACTGTTTGTAAATGGAACTTCTGGCCAAAATGGAGGAAAGGCTTGGCAGAATGTTCAAGCATCAAAATTATTTTCATTTCCGACAGCGCTTTGCTAATATGGTTTCCACATAAGGACAATAGTCTACGGTTTCGCTGCCTGAGCTACTGAGTTTAGTGCTTGGTTGCAGCCCTGTTAGCTGTGTTTTTCCTGTGGAATGCCTTTTATTTGTACAGCGGTTGTGTCATGGTATTAAATATGGCTGGTAACCGGCTTACGTATGAACTGGTGAAATACCCTATTTAACAATTCTATGTGTGTTTAGTAATTAACTTATCATGCCCGAATACTTCCATCAATGACAAACTACATTTCTGGTGGTGATTGTTGGCTATGGCACCTCCAGCAACTGAAGTATGCAGTTACTGCGTGTGCATATTTCTGGATTGATCCGGGGCTAGTTGTTTGTTCACCAGTTTTTCAAATGCAACAGCATGGGACATTTCATTTGATTTTCACTGGCACAGGAACTGAGCAAGTATGGAGAAAACCTGTTTGCAGTGAAGTTGAAACCTCGACTAAGACTAAATGGAGAAAGGCTGTTCAAAATGAACTTGTTAAGCTTGACATTCTTCTTCCATACGAAGAACAAGATGCCATGTCAGATTCAACTGATGTGTGTCGATTTTTTTTTTTTTTTCCAAGTATGAAAAAGCATTTAAACTGAAAAAAGTCAGATCATCCTGTTTTATTTGACAACAGATAAAGGCATGTTGGCTATTACCTGGCATGACAGAGAGTTCACCTGATGTCTTCTATTTATTCCAATGATTTTATAGGCAAGACAGGAAGAGTGGAGCAATTGAGGGCAGAATAGTAAATAATCCAGTTCTTGCAGAAAAATACAACAGTTTAGGGGCTTGTCGATCACTTTGGCCAGCTGGGTGCAAACTACTCCTACCCATGTAGATCCTATAAATGGTACTTGCCATTATATTATTTTATTTTTTTAGTTGACATCGCTCTGGTCAGTGGGCATAAAGCTAAAACACAGCCTACTCTGTATAAGATCACCACAAAGAGTTTCAGGCAGGATGTTATTCGGCACAGTGTAACACTTTCAGAACCAAATGTCACAGCATCATGACTTACAGAGCGCCATTTTTTCAAAAATATGAAAGCCAAAGTACAAATGAGATTGTTAAGTGTGTAAGGCTGCAGGTAAAAGAAGCTAGACTTGCATGTACTTACCAGATTGCAGTACGCTGTCTATCTCTATGCTTGACACCCTGGTGCAAGCTATACCCCACAGTTGAGGATTATCAACATTCCCGACAAAGATAGAGGGCTACTGCTACAGCTTCATCTCCAATTAATGAAGAAAGTAGCTCAGGCCAACTATAGGTGTTTTTAATAATCAAGCTTTCACAAATAACAAATAAACACAATAAACAAAAAAGATGAGATGTTTTCCAATTTGTAACACCAGGGTTTATAGGTATGTCTGGTTATTATCTCTCCATGATCTTCTTGGTCTGCCTTGTGGTTTTTACCTCTCTGTCATCTGACATTCTTTCAATATGCCCCAACCATTTAAACTATTATTCGGGAGATGTGAACCAGCCTCATTGCACACGGTTATAAATCATAAGTACTCTGCCACCAGTACGGACGACTGAAAAGAAAGTGTCCGCCTGTGTCGCCATCCGTAGCTTCAGAAACATCCTCGATTTACCCCTGAATGTTAACTCTGGTACCCGTTACCTAGAGGCCTCAAACTGCCTGGTTTCAAACACCGGCTGTGGGCTGCAGAGAGTCACAGCTGGAGTCTCCTATGGTTGGAGTGACGGATTTGTTCAACTTGGGGATGAATGGCAGGCACCTTTGCTGTTACAACTAGTAGCCTTACAATGGAAACTGTAGCTGTGACAAGGACTTTAGCATGGCTTGGTACTCAAATGTTCCCACACGTATGCATTCTTAGTGACTCGATGAATATGCTTAAAATATCCAAGCTGAATTTATCAGGCAATATGGATTGAAACAACACTAAGCACTTCACGAATATCTGCCCTAACCTTCATCTTTATACCAGGTGTTCAAGGGAACGAGTGTACAGACTATCTTGCTGACACTGCTGTTGCTATGGCTGGTCCAGTACTGGACAGAAGTGATGTTATCAATGCCATGCGCTGCACTTACCGTACCGAGGAGCACGCCAAAGGACATGACTCCATATCTCTGTCTAGACTGATGGACATAGGGGTGCAGCCTGGAGCTGCAAGAAATGAACATTTCACTAAGGGGACAAGGCGTTTCATTAACCAACTCAGAACAGGCGTCA